ACCGTACAGAGAGACTGATACACACCCCACCGTATAGAGAGACTGATACACACGTCACCGTACAGAGAGATTGATACACACACCACCGTACAGAGAGACTGATACACACACCGCTGTACATAGACACTGATACACACACCACCGTACAGAGAGACTGATACACACCCCACCGTATAGAGAGACTGATACACGCATCACCGTACAGAAAGATTGATACACACATCACTGTACAGAGAGACTGATACACACACCACTGTACATAGACACTGATACACACACCACCGTACAGAGAGACTGATACACACCCCACCGTATAGAGAGACTGATACACGCATCACAGTACAGAGAGATTGATACACACATCACTGTACAGAGAGACTGATACACACACCACTGTACATAGACACTGATACACACACCACCGTACAGAGAGACTGAGACACACACCATCGTACAGAGAGACTGATACACACCCCACCGTACAGAGAGACTGATACACGCATCACCGTACAGAGAGTCTGATACACGCATCACCGTACAGAGAGTCTGATACACGCATCACCGTACAGAGAGTCTGATACATACGTAGCCGTACAGAGAGTCTGACACCACCGTACAGAGAGACTGATACACGCATCACCGTACAGAGAGACTGATACACGTATCACCGTACAGAGAGTCTGATATACGCATCCATCAAACGAGCCACTCTGGGGGAATCATCAACAAGACATAGGATACTTTGACGTGAGTATGCGACCTGAGCATAACATTTACTTCGAGTGAGTGACGAATGTTTCAACAACAATCAACACGTCAGACATATCACAGGGGTCTAGAAGTGTATCGTGTGAGGCCATAGGTCGAGACCCCACAAAGGCTCTCACAATGTACAAGAACTCTGCATCACTGGTGTACACTTGTTGTGAACCATCCATGTTCTTCTAGTAATGAATCCAGGAACGCTGCCCACAAGGAACGCTGCCCACCACAAGTCGTACAGGCAGGACCTTGGCCTACCTAACTTAATACTTACCTCACTGCTCACACTGCTCAAGATATAATCCCTGTTTTCAAAGAGATCAAACATTAATTGCACTTCACAAAAGCTTTTCTACTGCTTTGTATTTCCTTTTCTAAGTACGATTAATACTCATTGGTACTTAATACATGCCTATTTTACATAATGTCGTATTACTATGGTGGCAAAGCTCCCTGTAATAATTGGGGTGTGGATAGTTCCTGCGGGGAAAGCTCGTCCCCTGTAATAATTGGGGTGGGGATAGTTCCTGCGGGGATAGCTCGTCCCCTGTAATAATTGGGGTGGGGATAGTTCCTGCGGGGAAAGCTCGTCCCCTGTAATAATTGGGTTGGGGATAGTTCCTGCGGGGAAAGCTTCTCCCCTGTAATAATTGGGTTGGGGATAGCTCCTGCGGGGAAAGCTTCTCCCCTGTAAAATTGGGGTGGGGATAGTTCCTGCGGGGATGGCTCCTCCCCTGTAATAATTGGGGTGGGGATAGTTCCTGCGGGGAAAGCTTCTCCCCTGTAATAATTGGGGTGGGGATAGTTCCTGCGGGGAAAGTTCCTTTTGGACCATGTTCCGTACACCACTAGCAATACGCGCTTATTACCAACTAGCGTCACTTCAGATGGGCCGGTCTGCCGACTAGCATGTTATAGCATAACTTCCATCCACTGCCATGTACCTGCGGTGAACCTGCATGTATTCTTTTATGCTTAGTTTCCCGCAATACAGATAAAACACGGTTTATCAAAATGTAAAATAAACACAACAATAAACATAAGTATCAACAGAAATGCTTAATGTCTACGTTTATTCCCTGAAAACGTCAAATTCTTACCTGCCACTTGAAATATGAGTCAGTTCACGCTTAACATATGAGTTTCACAGTTAACCATTTTCCTGAACTGGCCAAGAAGTCCAGTCACTTAGAGTCATTTGTCCCAGGTGACAATGTACACCACCATCACTGCCGTCACCAACCACATCGTCAGACTCCAGCATCACGTGATTCTGAGCAGCCAATGCCAGTCTCATGTGAGCATCGGGCACGGTGGTCACTAGAACAGTGACACGTACTGCAGGTACAGTCTATGTTCTATTTAACCTTAAATCCTGCATCGGCCATTGTCCAACCTTGACCTTGTGATGATGTTGCCTAAAATATTTCTTGTTGACAACTAGGAAGATCTTTGCTTGTTAATTAGTTCAGAGGGTGTGTAGTTTCTAGCTAGTATTGTGTGATTGCAAGTCAATCACGCAGCCAGACAGATAGCAATTGAAATGAAAATGTTTTCATACCCAGCCTTTCCCAAGGTTACAAATGCCTCTGTCAGTAGTGGAATCTGTGATAAAGATTCTCATTCTTAACAGCATAAGTGATCGTCTTGGTTGGGTATCATCGCTCCCCAGAGGCTTGACGCCCAACAGTGGTTGACACTCATCCGAGGTGGAACCTCCGAGATAACATTCATACGTTGGCCCAAGGTTGGCAATGCTTTTGCTAACGTTGGGCCAATGTCCGAATGCTATCTGAGCTATGACAAGAGGGTCAATGCACCTCTGACACCCATGTGATGTGACAGGAAATATAAGCTGATATGGAATTCATGAGGTTCTTGTAAAGATTCCAGCCTGTCTCACAACATTATTTTCCCTTTCGGACACACCGTTCTGCAATGCTAAAGACCTAAATAAAGCAAGTCTAGATTTCACTAGGGCTCCTTTCCAATTTATATGGAATTTTGTTTTTTATCAAAATTATATATATATATAATATATATATATATATATATATATATATATATATATATATATATATATATATATATATATATATATATATATATATATATATATATATATATATATGGTGGTGGGATAGTTCCTGTGGGGAAGTTCCTCCCTGTAAAATTGTGGTGGGCAAAGTTCCTGTGGGGAAAGCTATATATATATATATATATATATATATATATATATATATATATATATATTCAGACGTTTCCAAGGGGCTAGACCCTCATCAGAGGTTTGAAACCCATCAGGAACGAGACACTTATCAGGGCTTTGACATTCATGGGGTTTTGACGCTCACCCGGGGCTATACATTCCTCAGGGTAGAACAAGTATATATGGATGACAACTTCTTTTATTCTAGAGCACGACTTTTCGATACAGGTTCTTGTATCGCTTTCAAGTGAGAATGGTACAGGGAGAAAACAGGTGATGTATATACAACAAGACTAATTAACAAGTCAAGGCGGAATAACAATGTGATGATAACAAATACAGGGATGACAGAGGATTACAGGGATAAACATAGAGGCCAGTGGAAGCCAATGATACACAGAGCACAGAATGTATACAAGATTAACAAAGAGGCCAGCGGAAGCCAATGATACACAGAGCATAGAATGTATACAAGATTAACAAAGAGGCCAGCGGAAGCCAATGATACAAAGAGCAGAGAATGTTTACAAGATAAACATAGAGGCTAACGGAAGCCAATGATACAATGAGCATAGAATGTATACAAGATAAACATAGAGGCCAGTGGAAGCCAATGATACACAGAGCATAGAATGTATACAAGATAAACAAAGAGGCCAGTGGAAGCCAATGATACAAAGAGCATAGAATGTATACAAGATAAACATAGAGGCCAGTGGAAGCCAATGATACACAGAGCATAGAATGTATACAAGATTAACACAGAGGCCAGTGGAAGCCAGTGATACACAGAGCAGAGAATGTATACAAAATAAAGACATAGAGGCCAGCGGAAGCCAGTGATACACAGAGCATAGAATGTTTACAAGATAAACATAGAGGCCAACGGAAGCCAATGATACAATGAGCATAGAATGTATACAAGATAAACATAAAGGCCAGTGGAAGCCAATGATACACAGAGCATATAATGTATACAAGATAAACATAGAGGCCAACGGAAGCCAATGATACAATGAGCATAGAATGTATACAAGATAAACATAAAGGCCAGTGGAAGCCAATGATACACAGAGCATAGAATGTATACAAGATAAACATAGAGGCCAACGGAAGCCAATGATACACAGAGGATAGAATGTATACAAGATAAACATAAAGGCCAGTGGAAGCCAATGATACAAAGAGCATAGAATGTATACAAGATCTTGTATTGAAACGTCGTGCTCTAGTATAAAAAATGCCACTCAAAGAAGCCATTCCTCAGGGGTTTGACATTCACCAGGGGCTTGTCAGTCATCTGGGCTTTAACGCTTATCGGGGGTTTGACGCTCACCAGGGGCTATACATTCATCATGGGTTCGGCACTCATCAGGGGCTAGTCAGGGGTTTGACGCTCACCAGGGGTTTGACACTCTTCCAGGGCTATACATTCATTGAGGGTTTGACGCTCACCAGGGGTTTGACACTCATCCAGGGCTATACATTCATTGAGGGTTTGACGCTCACCAGGGGTTTGACACTCTTCCAGGGCTATACATTCATTGAGGGTTTGACGCTCACCAGGGGTTTGACACTCATCCAGGGCTATACATTCATTGAGGGTTTGACGCTCACCAGGGGTTTGACACTCTTCCAGGGCTATACATTCATTGAGGGTTTGACGCTCACCAGGGGTTTGACACTCATCCAGGGCTATACATTCATCATGGGTTCGGCACTCATCAGGGGCTAGTCAGGGGTTTGACGCTCACCAGGGGTTTGACACTCATCTAAGGCTAGTCAGCCACCACTGGTTTGACGCTTATCAATTATTCGTTCTCAAATCATAAATAGGCGGATTTGAGCCGATCTGTAATTTTTTAAAACACAAAATAATGGATCGTTTAAAAACTAGAGTTAACTAGATGAAACGAACGACACCATAAACGAGCTTCTCACACTACGGTGTCGAACCCGGAAGAAACACTTCCACCTCAAGGCAACCGCCATGAGACGACCTAGAAGGAGAATAGTTCAAACCACACAACAAGATGGTGCATTTATTGAGGTGGCGGATATACATGGCACTTGGCTGACCAGATGTGACGTGAAGATCAAGGAAAGACAAGGGTGAGATGGCCGTTGATGGTGGAGTCGTACGAGTTGGCCTGGGAACTGACGCAGATGTCAATACGGCTGTGACCTTTACCAAAGAACGCTGACCCCGTGTCTACAACCTGCAGGAGTAATCCTAAATATACTAAACAAAGACATGGATACTTCCTGGACATGCGCAGCAATAGAAACATGAAGTAACAGTAGCTGTGGTTGATACACAGCTAAACACACAGGAGCAGCAACAGTAGCTGCGGTTGCTACACAGCTAAACACACAGGAGCAGTAACAGTAGCTGCGGTTGCTACACACCTAAACACACAGGAGCAGTAACAGTAGCTGTGGTTGATACACACCTAAACACACAGGAGCAGTAACAGTAGCTGTGGTTGATACACACCTAAACACACAGGAGCAGCAACAGTAGCTGCGGTTGCTACACAGCTAAACACACAGGAGCAGTAACAGTAGCTGCGGTTGCTACACACCTAAACACACAGGAGCAGTAACAGTAGCTGTGGTTGCTACACAGCTAAACACACAGGAGTAGCAACAGTAGCTGTGGTTGCTACACAGCTAAACACACAGGAGCAGTAACAGTAGCTGCGGTTGCTACACACCTAAACACACAGGAGCAGTAACAGTAGCTACGGTTGCTACACACCTAAACACACAGGAGCAGTAACAGTAGCTGCGGTTGCTACACAGCTAAACACACAGGAGCAGTAACAGTAGCTGTGGTTGCTACACAGCTAAACACACAGGAGTAGCAACAGTGGCTGTGGTTGCTACACAGCTAAACACACAGGAGCAGTAACAGTAGATGCGGTTGCTACACACCTAAACACACAGGAGCAGTAACAGTAGCTGCGGTTGCTACACACCTAAACACACAGGAGCAGTAACAGTAGCTGTGGTTGCTACACACCTAAACACACAGGAGCAGTAACAGTAGCTGTGGTTGCTACACATCTAAACACACAGGAGCAGTAACAGTAGCTGTGGTTGCTACACATCTAAACACACAGGAGCAGTAACAGTAGCTGTGGTTGCTACACATCTAAACACACAGGAGCAGTAACAGTAGCTGTGGCTGCTACACAGCCAAACACACAGCAGCAGTAACAGTAGCTGTGGTTGCTACACACCTAAACACACAGGAGCAGTAACAGTAGCTGTGGTTGCTACACAGCTAAACACACAGGAGCAGGAACAGTAGCTGTGGTTGCTACACAGCTAAACACACAGGAGCAGTAACAGTAGCTGTGGTTGCTACACAGCTAAACACACAGGAGCAGGAACAGTAGCTGTGGTTGCTACACAGCTAAACACACAGGAGCAGGAACAGTAGCTGTGGTTGCTACACAGCTAAACACACAGGAGCAGGAACAGTAGCTGTGGTTGCTACACAGCTAAACACACAGGAGCAGTAAGGGCACTACACTCGATACAAATCCTAAACCAATATGAAGTAGTTTAGTAATTATTAGCTCGACGTTTCAGGGTAGGTTCCAACGTAAATGCAACCTTTAGGACGTAAAATAAGTTCTAGACAACTGATAATCAGACACTTGTACTTCGACACAGGAAACAGGTTTTCAATACAGTGTCGCTACATATATCCTGACTATAAGCCGACACGATCTGGGATTCGACAAATATGACTTCGAGATAACGGGGTTCGACTGTACGTAAGATGCCTTTTTAATTGCAAAATCAGTTCAAGAAGAACGTTCCATGATAAATCTTGTTCATCGTATTCCATCCTGTGTTTTTAGTATTCCAGACTGGTGATGTATATGTACATTGCTATCTGTGACGGCGTCTACCACACCTGTAATACAGGTGATCGAAGTTACCTGACCCACCTTAAAGTCAATGTGTTTGTTGTATCGCTGATTCATCTACTGGTGTACATTGCTATCTGTGACGGTCTCTACCACACCTGTAATACAGGTGATCGAAGTTACCTGACCCACCTTAAAGTCAATGTGTTTGTTGTATCGCTGATTCATCTACTGGTGTACATTGCTATCTGTGACGGTCGAAGTTACCTCCACCACACCTGTAATACGGGTGATCGAAGTTACCTGACCCACCTGTAAAGTCACTGTGTTTGTTGTATCTGTGATTCATCTACTGGTGTACATTGCTATCTGTGACGGTCTCTACCACACCTGTAATACAGGTGATCGAAGTTACCTGACCCACCTTAAAGTCAATGTGTTTGTTGTATCGCTGATTCATCTACTGGTGTACATTGCTATCTGTGACGGTCTCTACCACACCTGTAATACAGGTGATCGAAGTTACCTGACCCACCTTAAAGTCACTGTGTTTGTTGTATCTGTGATTCATCTACTGGTGTACATTGCTATCTGTGACGGTCTCTACCACACCTGTAATACAGGTGATCGAAGTTACCTGACCCACCTTAAAGACAATGTACTTGTTGTATCTGTGATTCATCTACTGGTGTACATTGCTATCTGTGACGGTGTCTACCACACCTGTAATACAGGTGATCGAAGTTACCTGACCCACCTTAAAGTCAATGTGTTTGTTGTATCGCTGATTCATCTACTGGTGTACTTTGCTATCTGTGACGGTGTCTACCACACCTGTAATACAGGTGATCGAAGTTACCTGACCCACCTTAAAGTCACTGTGTTTGTTGTATCGCTGATTCATCTACTGGTGTACATTGCTATCTGTGACGGTCTCTACCACACCTGTAATACAGGTGATCGAAGTTACCTGACCCACCTTAAAGTCACTGTGTTTGTTGTATCGCTGATTCATCTACTGGTGTACATTGCTATCTGTGACGGTCTCTACCACACCTGTAATACAGGTGATCGAAGTTACCTGACCCACCTTAAAGTCACTGTGTTTGTTGTATCTGTGATTCATCTACTGGTGTACATTGCTATCTGTGACGGTCTCTACCACACCTGTAATACAGGTGATCGAAGTTACCTGACCCACCTTAAAGACAATGTGTTTGTTGTATCGCTGATTCATCTACTGGTGTACATTGCTATCTGTGACGGTCTCTACCACACCTGTAATACAGGTGATCGAAGTTACCTGACCCACCTTAAAGTCACTGTGTTTGTTGTATCTGTGATTCATCTACTGGTGTACATTGCTATCTGTGACGGTGTCCACCACACCTTTAATACGGGTGATCGAAGTTACCTGACCCACCTTAAAGTCAATGTGTTTGTTGTATCGCTGATTCATCTACTGGTGTACATTGCTATCTGTGACGGTCTCTACCACACCTGTAATACAGGTGATCGAAGTTACCTGACCCACCTTAAAGTCACTGTGTTTGTTGTATCTGTGATTCATCTACTGGTGTACATTGCTATCTGTGACGGTCTCTACCACACCTGTAATACAGGTGATCGAAGTTACCTGACCCACCTTAAAGTCAATGTGTTTGTTGTATCGCTGATTCATCTACTGGTGTACATTGCTATCTGTGACGGTCTCTACCACACCTGTAATACAGGTGATCGAAGTTACCTGACCCACCTTAAAGTCAATGTGTTTGTTGTATCTGTGATTCATCTACTGGTGTACATTGCTATCTGTTTGTGACGGTGTCTACACACCTGTAATACAGGTGATCGAAGTTACCTGACCCACCTTAAAGTCAATGTGTGTTTGTTGTATCGCACACCTGTAATACAGGTGATTCATCTACTACGGGGTGTACATTGTTGTATCGCTGATCATGTGACGGTCTACCACCACACCTGTAATACAGGTGATCGAAGTTACCTGACCCCACCTGTAATACAGGTGATCGAAGTTACCTGACCCACCTTAAAGACAATGTGTTTGTTGTATCGCTGATTCATCTACTGGTGTACATTGCTATCTGTGACGGTCTCTACCACACCTGTAATACAGGTGATCGAAGTTACCTGACCCACCTTAAAGTCACTGTGTTTGTTGTATCTGTGATTCATCTACTGGTGTACATTGCTATCTGTGACGGTCTCTACCACACCTGTAATACAGGTGATCGAAGTTACCTGACCCACCTTAAAGTCAATGTGTTTGTTGTATCGCTGATTCATCTACTGGTGTACATTGCTATCTGTGACGGTCTCTACCACACCTGTAATACAGGTGATCGAAGTTACCTGACCCACCTTAAAGTCAATGTGTTTGTTGTATCGCTGATTCATCTACTGGTGTACTTTGCTATCTGTGACGGTCTCTACCACACCTGTAATACAGGTGATCGAAGTTACCTGACCCACCTTAAAGTCACTGTGTTTGTTGTATCTGTGATTCATCTACTGGTGTACATTGCTATCTGTGACGGTCTCTACCACACCTGTAATACAGGTGATCGAAGTTACCTGACCCACCTTAAAGTCACTGTGTTTGTTGTATCGCTGATTCATCTACTGGTGTACATTGCTATCTGTGACGGTGTCTACCACACCTGTAATACAGGTGATCGAAGTTACCTGACCCACCTTAAAGTCACTGTGTTTGTTGTATCGCTGATTCATCTACTGGTGTACATTGCTATCTTTGACGGTGTCTACCACACCTGTAATACAGGTGATCGAAGTTACCTGACCCACCTTAAAGACAATGTGTTTGTTGTATCGCTGGTTCATCTACTGGTGTACATTGCTATCTGTGACGGTGTCTACCACACCTGTAATACAGGTGATCGAAGTTACCTGACCCACCTTAAAGACAATGCGTTTGTTGTATCGCTGATTCATCTACTGGTGTACATTGCTATCTGTGACGGTGTCTACCACACTTTTAATACAGGTGATCGAAGTTACCTGACCCACCTTAAAGACAATGTGTTTGTTGTATCGCTGGTTCATCTCGGGGATACAGATGCTGGTGCCGTAGGCAATGCCGGCGTGGTTGTCCATGGCAACACTCACATAGCTCGCACTTCCAGCAAGAAATTGCTGGAATAAAACAATCGTTTGAAAATAATATATTCAATCTAACAGATATGTGGTCATACAGATCGTGTTCCGGTTGACTGGACAACGGGGTAGTGGTCACACAGAATGTGTTCCAGTGCACTGGACGACGAGGTAGTGGTCATACAGATCGTGTTCCAGTGCACTGGACGACGAGGTAGTGGTCATACAGATCGTGTTCCAGTGCACTGGACGACGGGGTAGTGGTCTTACAGATCGTGTTCCGGGGTCTCTGGACGACTAGATGGCGGTGTGCAAGTCTGCCAGCAGTGATCTTGGGGTGTATACACCCACTCGTCTTCGTGTCAAGCACCAGTGGGGTCCGGGTTGGAGCCAAGCAAGCCGATTACAAAAAGCTACTAAATTGACTGCATGTAATTGTATCCTGCAGGAATAGATCAGTTTTGAAGTCATGTAGCTTGAGGCTAGCTTAGTTAAACAGCAAGAAACAAAACCATGTCAAGAATAATAACGTTGTTATACGCACCTGTCACGCACGTCGGTGTCGTAAACATTTGGCACAAGTACATCCAGCCATTGTGAGCTGAACGTACGATCGGTAAACTAGCACTTGGATATTAGAACTTGCCTACAGGAACACCCTTCAATGTGTGACAATCTAGAGTCTTCGAGCCACTACAAGATGCTTTTCTTTCATATATGACAGTCAGAATAAGCTTACCTGTAGCGTCCTGAGTCTAGCGCCCCTCATGTCCACGAAGCCTCCCTCCAGTGGGTTGTCGGCGGGGTAGTAGGCCGTGCCACGTGCAGAGTACCGGTGACCCCCGGAACAGTCTAGGCCGCCTCCCCCTTCAAATGAGATGGCGTCTTACTTCATGTTATAGTTTATGATAACGAGCATTATGTTTCAGTTTATGATGATGAACATCATGTTATATATGTAGTTTATGATGATGAACATCATGTTATATATGTAGTTTATGATGATGAACATCATGTTATATATGTAGTTTATGATGATGAACATCATGTTATATATGTAGTTTATGATGATGAACATCATGTTATATATGTAGTTTATGATGATGAACATCATGTTATAGTTTGTGGCAAATGAGGATAAATCATGACTTGGAACAACGACGTTTACCTGAGGTGACGGAACCCCCCGAGCAAGTCTGAATGTTGACATAATTTCCCGCGATCCACCCGCTCTGTAAGAAATACCAGACAATCAGATGTAGTGGATCAACACATCAGATGTAGTGGATCAACATAACAGATGTAGTGGATCAACACATCAGATGTAGTGGATCAACACATGAGTGAGTGAGTTTAGTTTTACGCTGCACTCAGCAATATTCCAGCTATATATCGGCGGTCTGTAAATAATCGAGTCTGGACCAGAAAATCCAGTGATCAACAGCATGAGCATCGATCTGCGCAATTGGGAACCGATGACCAGTGTCAACCAAGCCAGCGAGCCTGACCACCCGATCCCGTTAGTCGCCTCTTACGACAAGCATGGGTTACTGAAGGTTCATTCTAACCCGAACCTTCATGGATCAACACATCAGAATGATGTAGAAGGCTGTAGTTCTTAAGACATTGCTTTTGAGATGAATACTTAATATTTATACATAGATTTCACACATGAAATGATCTCATTTAAGTTCAGTTGAGTAAAACACCTTTAGAGAATTGGCTATTTGATGGTTATTAAATGATACTAGAACATCAATAGTCCACCTGCACGCAGGTCAACCACCTACCCTGCCGTGGTAGTCCACCCAGCACATGTAACCCAGGTCAACCACCTACCCTGCCGTGGTAGTCCACCCAGCACATGTCACCCAGGTCAACCACCTACCCGGCCGTGGTAGACCACCCAGGTCAACCACCTACCCTGCCGTGGTAGACCACCCAGCACATGTAACCCAGGTCAAACACCTACCCTGCCGTGGTAGTCCACCCAGCACATGTAACCCAGGTCAACCACCTACCCTGCCGTGGTAGTCCACCCATCACATGTAACCCACGTCAACCACCTACCCTGCCGTGGTAGACCACCTATCACATGTAACCCAGGTCAACCACCTACCCTGCCGTTGTAGTCCACACATCACATGTCACCCAGGTCAACCACCTACCCTGCCGTGGTAGTCCACCCAGCACATGTAACCCAGGTCAACCACCTACCCTGCCGTGGTAGTCCACACATCACATGTAACCCAGGCCAACCACCTACCCTGCCGTGGCAGTCCACACATCACATGTCACCCAGGTCAACCACCTACCCTGCCGTGGCAGTCCACACATCACATGTAACCCAGGTCAACCACCTACCCTGCCGTTATAGTCCACGTGCACCCAGCCGCTGCTCTGGTCGCCTTCATAAGTGACGCAACTTCCGCTGATCAGCGTACCGAGGACCGCATGACTCGTCCCCGCACCTGACCGGACGTGAACATTCCCTCTAGCGCATGCGCACTGAGCAGCGCTAGCTCCATGTAGATTTATTGCCAAGGCGGCAACAGCGACCAAAGTCATCATTATTTTGAATCTGAATCTGAAACATTCTCCTTGATTAACAGACTTTGTTACATGTAGGTTCAATTGTCGGCCATGTTGTACTTGGCACGCGTTGCTCTAACCACATACATAACTAAACTCCGGACACAGAGATGTTCACTTGTGTTCATAAATATAAAAGTCATATGAAAACCATTGACTCACACCACAGCAGTTCTTTCACTGATATTGTTTCAAGTTGCATCATGATTGTATTTCAAAGTAATATTTCCAAGATATATCTCCACGGTAACATTTAGATATATCTACATCTACATTACATCTAAGACACGGACATTGTCTCGCTGTCGATGTGTTATTATGATAAACAACCCAGTACATGCTATAAGTAATATTTCAACTGGTTAACTGGGAATATAGACATGAAGCCTGACACAACCGATCTCCGTACATCTTGCCACGTGAAAAACGTACCACTCCTCTGATCACCTGGACCAGGTGTGGTTTTATCAAAACGATTGTTACATGGCGAACACCACGTGGTCACTGTTTGATTGCCTCCTTGTCAGTCTCCATATTCACCGAAACCATTCTGGTGTAGGTGGAAACAATATTTACAGCCAAGGAATATTATGAGCTATATGGCCATATCATCATTTCTGCATGACACCGATGGTGACAGACCCCCATGAGTGTTTGTGCTGTAGTTGCAATGTACAGTTTATATTTTCACACATCTGGTCTTTGCTTGAACAAGGGCTGCCTGGTAACTACTCTCCGTGTGTTTGTTCGGTAATCTGTTTGTGTATGTACTATAGTCATGTCTGTATTCAATGTTACACGCTACTTAGTACACATGTACTTAGGTGGTCAGCAATTTTGTACAATAAAATAAGAAAAAGTTATGCTTAAAACTTATGGGAGGTAGGGTACTTACTTTATACATACACTTTAGGGGTGGGGTGGGGTAAAGTGGAGGTCATTCACATGCGTCTCCATATACAGTCAGGCCTCGTTAATACGAACACCTTGGTTTCTTTAAACGTTCGGATAGTGAAACGTTCGTACTGCTGAAACCACAGTATATGCACCGAGTTACTTCCCCTTGATATCTTTCCTTACTATCGATACGTGAAGAAATCAAAACAAAACATGAAAGACAATCACTGGATTTATTACACATCGTTTCACTCACACATTTTACTTACAAAAGTAGTCTTTCACTCACACATTTTACTTACAAAAGTAGTCTTTCACTCACACATTTTACTTACAAAAGTAGTAAATCATAATCACCTCTCCTAGCCATAAATTATGAACGGTACCTTATAGTGTTAGACATATTTCCTTGAGGACAATAAAGTATTATCAATCAGTCAATCGTGGAATAGACACCTATCATGTTGTCATACTCAAACAATCCAGTCATACAATCCAGTCAAACAATCCAGTCATACAATCAAAGGCCCATAACGGCCCATGAGAAGACACCAGGAGTTCTGGCCAGACATATCCCGGGAGCAAGTTCCGGGTGTTTGATGAAGGATAAGGCATACACTAAACGCCAAACGAAACGTCACCCTCCTTCCTTAATGACGGAGGTACCTATCTTCAGCTGGCGTTGTGATGCTTGGACGTCCATTTCTTGGTCTGTCGAGGGTGACCGCAGTCTGTCTGAAGCCCTGAATAAGTTTTATAACCGTGATACGCTGGCATCCGAGCGCGTTGGCACAACATTGTATGTCGACCCCATCTGCACCATCCCAATGGCTCTTTCTCTATCTTCAGCTGTTAATCGTGGCATAATTCTCGTACTTGTGTATCATATCATGTATTCTAGGCTCTCTTCATACCCTATAAATTATTCTACATGTGAAATGGATGCAAATACTGCTTGAATATTGTTGCGTTTTGGCGACTGATATTGCTATGTGTAAACAGAAAATGGAAAAATGTTACTTTGCGAGCAGAAATGTTAACAAAGATAATTTTAGATGTTCCTAAAAAAAAATTCACAATATCAAAGACACGTTTTAATTGTTTACACTAATCCAAATCAGCAGAAAATATTTTAAAAGACTGAAATCATAGGAATGATTATTTTACAATTTTACACACTCTACAACATTTCTTTTTTTTAATAGTTGAAAAATGGTGACTTTAAATGGTTTATCATTGTCCCAAAGCAGAATTTTATTTCAGTCTTTCTTTTGGGCATCAAAATCACTGTTATTGGTATATTTCGCCATGGACGAATAGATAGGACAATTAAACTCTTCTGAAAAGATGCATTCCACCTAAATATGAATGTTTTTGAAAATTTTGTTTCGTGAGTTGCATAAACTTGTGTTGTTAAGCTTTTTTGGTAAACTAATACCTTCTAACATATCTTTGATAGTATTTCAGTAATTCAAACAGGTAGGAGGGTAACGTTTCTTTTGGCGTTTAGTGTATGAGCAGGCAATCAACAGAGAAGGCTGGATACACAGCTGATAAAGCCAAAATGGAAGAAACACGTGTCAAATAGCTGGCAACTAGCAATGGAAGATACACGTGTCAAATAGCTGACAACAAGCAAAGGAAGATACACGTGTCAAATAGCTGACAACTAGAAATGGAAGATACACGTGTCAAACAGCTGACAACAAGCAATGGAAGATACAGGTGTCAAATAGCTGAAACCAACAATGGTAGATACACGTGTCAAATAGCTGACAACAAGCAAAGGAATATACACGTGTCAAACAGCTGACAACTAGAAATGGAAGATACACGTGTCAAATAGCTGACAACTAGCAATGGAAGATACACGTGTCAAACAGCTGACAACTAGAAATGGAAGATACACGTGTCAAATAGCTGACAACAAGCAATGGAAGATACACGTGTCAAATAGCTGACAACAAGCAAAGGAAGATACACGTGTCAAATAGCTGGCAACTAGCAAAGGAAGATACACGTGTCAAATAGCTGGCAACTAGCAATGGAAGATACACGTGTCAAATAGCTGACAACAAGCAAAGGAAGATACACGTGTCAAACAGCTGACAACCAACAATGGAAGATACACGTGTCAAATCGCCAACAACTAGCAATGGAAGATACACGTTTCAAATAACTGACAACTATCAATGGAAGATACACGTGTCAAATAGCTGACAACCAACAATGGAAGATACACGTGTCAAACAGCAGACAACCAACAATGGAAGATACACGTGTCAAACAGCAGACAACCAACAATGGAAGATACACGTGTCAAACAGCAGACAACCAACAATGGAAGATACACGTGTCAAACAGCAGACAACCAACAATGGAAGATACACGTGTCAAACAGCAGACAACCAACAATGGAAGATACACGTGTCAAACAGCAGACAACCAACAATGGAAGATACACGTGTCAAACAGCAGACAACCAACAATGGAAGATACACGTGTCAAACAACTGACAACCAACAATGGTAGATACACGTGTCAAACAGCAGACATTGGATATTCATGGTAATATTCCCAGATAGGAATGAAATGCTTGTCAATCGGCACGGCTATGATGGAGAATAAACTTACTAAATTTGCCTACATGTACTGTTTCATGTATTGTACGTTATCGATTGATCAGATACTTGATGCCTAGGCTATCAACGATATAGGGGAGTGTTCAGCGTGGCTACCATGTCAGATACTTGATGCCCAGGTTATCAACGATATAGGGGAGTGTTCAGCGTGGCTACCATGTCAGATACTTGATGCCCAGGTTATCAACGATATAGGGGAGTGTTCAGCGTGGCTACCATGTCAGATACTTGATGCCCAGGTTATCAACGATATAGGGGAGTGTTCAGCGTGGCTACCATGTCAGATACTTGATGCCCAGGCTATCAACGATATAGGGGGGTGTTCAGCATGGCTACATGTCTATACTGGTGAACTTCTACCTTATTCTGGACATAGGCGTTTGATGACGGCGCTGTTTGCAGTGTTGTTTTCAGACTAAGGTCAATAACACATTTCATGACAAGTGTAACAGGTGTCTTTTCTTGTGAGAAAAATGCTTATCTCATCTCACGATAGAACAAGTGTTAATAGGTGAAAAACCTGTGTCGTTGGATAAGATAAACATGTTTCAAAAAATTGACAACAACATGCTTGAGCGTTAACAGAAACCCATCAGCCTGCATTAAATAGCGATAAAATCTTTACCATATTTGAAAACTATGAAACTAAAAACTAAAATAGTTTGCGTTGTTGGCTGATAGCGAGCTCTTACAACCTACCTGTCTACAGCGTGTCAGCAGGACCACTGTCCTTATCTACAGATTGACATGGGAGCCGCAGTAGATACAAATACTTCAACTGACGTCATCTTCAGGTGTTTGTCCATCTCACTCAATTAAAGACATCTAATTTAGAGAAAACCTTTCAAAGAACCTAACGGGCAGCCTTTCTAACCAACGCCGTGTCAACGACAATTGTTTGATTCAAGAAATGAGTCAAGCCTCGTGATACCATTCAGTTATGAGATGTGCTGCCTCTCCTTCGGGAATCATTGGGATTGTACAAAGTAAGAACAACACTATACTCTGGTATGTTAAAAGAAATACATCCCTGATAGCTTTAACTGACAGGTGGATTTACAAACAGTCTCCAGTAAGGCCGGTTGTTGACAACAACCCTCGTCAACTATTGAAATATGGACCAAAATATCCCGAGCAGCCTGCTACTGATAGGGTTTACAACTACAGAATTACAGTGTATGCTGTCCAAACATGTGTCAATAATGGGAGAGAGGAGGAACCTGTGGAACGTCTTCTACAGTGGAAGGAAAAGAGGAACCTGTGGAACGTCTTATAGAGTGGAGGGGAGAGAAGAGGAACCTGTGGAACGTCTTCTCGAGTGGAGGGGAGAAGAGGAACCTGTGGAACGTCTTCTAGAGTGGAGGAGAGAAGAGGAACCTGTGGAACGTCTTCTAGAGTGGAGGGGAGAAGAGGAACCTGTGGAACGTCTTCTAGAGTGGAGGGGAGAAGAGGAACCTGTGGAACGTCTTCTAGAGTGGAGGGGAGAAGAGGAACCTGTGGAACGTCTTCTAGAGTGGAGGGGAGAAGAGGAACCTGTGGAACGTCTTCTAGAGTGGAGGGGAGAAGAGGAACCTGTGGAGCGTCTTCTAGAGTGTGTTATGTCAGTGCGTGATGTTGTTGTCATCTGTAGAAATGGCAACTGAAAAGTGAAAACTGCCCCGCTCTGTTGTATCCAAGTACGGCTTCCCTCAAATAACATCACCATTATTTGTCAGAACCACTGTCTCATGTTTATCAAAGGATTTGGTGTCAGTGGCATTAAAAGCAGGGACAAGTGCCACGGGCCTCCCGGTGGGTACCACTTGGGGTCTATTGTCCTTCTTTGTCCATATGAATCAGAATTTCCTGTTATGGTGTATTGAAGACAGCAGATGGTTGTCCAAACGTGGAACCCAACTGTGCTAGCTTTACTGGTTTGATCGTCGATCCATCTGATCCAAGACATGTTATAAGGGGACGACGTCCGGAAGAAGAGCCAGGTCTGTCCGCCAGAATTCTCATGTTACACGTTGACATTTCTAAGCCGTTTTGTCACCCTGTTTCCTGTAAGCGGTTATTGAAACACATCTTTCGGCATATATATATTAACCTAATATTCTAAGCAAGACAATATTAGGTTCAAGGTCAGAGGTGAGGCTGATCTGTGGGCTGCCCAAATAAATAATGAGTATGTTAGGGTGGGCAACTACAGTTGCCAGCAGCAGCAGCAGCAATGGACAACAATGTTGCCAGCAGCAAATAGAGCAATCACATTTCTGCTGAAAAGCAGGCAATAATAAGGCAAAGCCAAAAGATTCCTATCCGCTGAGAAGTAGAAGGGTTAAACAGATTCCGGCTGAAGAGCCGTCCTGCCATAATTTTGAGTATTGCCTAGGTATTAAGGATTGCAGCCCACAAGATCGAGGCCAGCCCTAACATTTATTGACATAGGCATATATACACAGACATTACAAGCCCTTTGCCAATAATGTACAATCTGGAAACAGAAAGAAGAGAGAAATGGCTAGCAAGGGAATGGTGGGAGGGAAGCAAAAATATAACTTAATGCAGGAGACAAAGAGGATAGACTCACTGTGGGAATCTAAAAAATCAATGGATAAACAAAAGATGACGTAATCAGAAGTAGACACATGACGTCATTGGAATTAACATAACCGGAAGTGACGTAAGCAAACATAAACGAGGGGGAAGGATGAACTGAAAAGAAGTGTGAATGGTTTTAATAAACGCATTGAGTGTTAAGCACTAAATGAAATTATACCACAATGTGTCCTGTAAGCCGTTTTGCCACCCCATCTCCTGTAAGCCGTTATACCACACCGTCTCCTGTAAGCCGTTATACCACACCGTCTCCTGTAAGCCGTTATATCACTCCGTCTCCTGTAAGCCGTTATACCAATCCGTCTCCTGTAAGCCGTTATACCACACCATCTCCAGTAAGCCGTTATACCACCCCGTCTCCTGTAAGCCATTATACCATCCCGTCTCCTGTAAGCCGTTATACCACTCCGACTCCTGTAAGCCGTTATACCAATCCGTCTCCTGTAAGCCGTTATACCACACCATCTCCAGTAAGCCGTTATACCACACCATCTCCAGTAAGCCGTTATACCACCCCGTCTCCTGTAAGCCGTTATACCACCACTCAGGTAATGTCAAATCAAGCTAGGCGTGGCTAGGTCGAAGGTGTGGGCTGACATGAAACCAATTGGTCTCAAGCCAGGAATGTTCCCAACAGTTAATACAGCGTTAAGCGTCATTTACGGTTAGAATATATGTTTGTTCCATCTGAGAGCCAAACAGTCGCTGTTTATACGAGTATAATGCTTTAGCTTCTTACAAAGACTCCAACATCCAAATGTGGCTCCCTATGCGAACATGCATGTGCAAATTGTGAATCACGAACTAAAAGTCGAAGCGATGTCTTCAGGATTATGTATTGAAAGATGCATGATATATTGAGAATTTAGAAGTGTTTTTTTAGAATTTACAGCATTGTGTATTCTTACATAGTTTCAACTTGGGAATCAACACGTACACACACACGCACGCACACACGTACGCACGCACGCGCACGCACGTACGCGTGCGCGCAATTGTATCGAACCTGAAAGAAAGCTTTGTCCAAAATCCATAACCTGTTTTCGTGCCATCTGTTATCATGTCACGTGTTATTGTCACCTGTTATCGAGTCATCTGCTATCATGTCATTTGTTGTCGTATCATTTGTTATCATGTCACCTGTTATCGTGTCACTTGTTATTGTGTCACCTGTTATCGAGCCATATGTCATCATGTCATCTGTTGTCACATCATCTGTTATCATGTCACCTGTTGTTGTGTCATCTATTATCATGTCACCTGTTGTTGTGTCACCTGTTGTTGTGTCACCTATTGGTGTGTCATCTATTGTTGTGCCACCTGTAATCATGTCACCTGTTGTTGTTGTATCATCTGTTAGTGTGTCATCTGTTATTATGTCACTTGTTGTTGTATCATCTGTTATCATGTCACCTGCTGTTGTGTCATCTGTTATCATATCACCTGTTGTTGTGTCATCTGTTATCATGTCACCTGTTGTTGTGTCATCTGTTATCATGTCACCTGTTGTTGTGTCATTTCTTATCATGTCACCTGTTATCATGTCATATGTTATCATGTCACCTGTTGTTGAGTCACCTATTGTTGTGTCATCTACTATCATGTCACCTGTTGTTGTGTCATTTGTTATCATGTCACCTGTTATCATGTCACATGTTATCATGTCACCTGTTGTTGAGTCACCTATTGTTGTGTCATCTGTTATCATGTCACCTGTTATCATGTCACCTGTTGTTGAGTCACCTCTCGGTGTGTCACCTGTTGTTGTGTCATTTGTTATCATGTCATCTGTTGTTGAGTCACCTGTTGTTGTGTCATTTGTTATCATGTCATCTGTTACCATGTCATATGTTATCATGTCACCTGTTGTTGTGTCATCTGTTATCATGTCACCTGTTGTTGTGTCATTTGTTATCATGTCACCTGTTATCATGTCATATGTTATCATGTCACCTGTTGTTGAGTCACCTATTGTTGTGTCATCTACTATCATGTCACCTGTTCTTGTGTCATTTGTTATCATGTCACCTGTTATCATGTCACCTGTTATCATGTCACCTGTTGTTGAGTCACCTATTGTTGTGTCATCTGTTATCATGTTACCTGTTATCATGTCATATGTTATCATGTCATATGTTATCATGTCACCTGTTGTTGAGTCACCTATTGTTGTGTCACCTGTTGTTGTGTCATTTGTTATCATGTCACCTGTTATCATGTCATATGCTATCATGTCACCTGTTGTTGAGTCACCTATTGTTGTGTTATCTACTATCATGTCACCTGTTGTTGTGTCATTTGTTATCATGTCATCTGTTGTTGAGTCACCTGTTGTTGTGTCATTTGTTATCATGTCATCTGTTACCATGTCATATGTTATCATGTCACCTGTTGTTGAGTCACCTATTGTTGTGTCATCTGTTATCATGTCACCTGTTGTTGTGTCATCTGTTATCATGTCACCTGTTGTTGTGTCATTTGTTATCATGTCACCTGTTATCATGTCATATGTTATCATGTCACCTGTTGTTGAGTCACCTATTGTTGTGTCATCTACTATCATGTCACCTGTTGTTGTGTCATTTGTTATCATGTCACCTGTTATCATGTCACCTGTTATCATGTCATATGTTATCATGTCACCTGTTGTTGAGTCACCTATTGTTGTGTCATTTGTTATCATGTCACCTGTTATCATGTCATATGTTATCATGTCACCTGTTATCATGTCACCTGTTACCATGTCACCTGTTACCATGTCACATGTTATCATGTCACTTGTTACCATGTCACCTGTTATCATGTCATATGTTACCATGTCACCTGTTGTTGTGTCATTTGTTACCATGTCACCTGTTATCATGTCACCTGTTACCATGTCACCTGTTATCATGTCACCTGTTACCATGTCATCTGTTACCATGTCATCTGTTACCATGTCACCTGTTATCATGTCACCTGTTACCATGCCATATGTTATCATGTCATCTGTTATCATGTCACCTGTTATCGAGTCACCTGTTGCTGCATTGTCATGTTCTCTTTCAACCCATGGACAAGGCGCCCTTCTTCTGTCTCTCAGATTGGAAGTGAAGTTGTTTCATGATCTGCCCGTGATTTAATGACTGGGAGCTTGATCAACCAACGTGGGTGGTCAATAATAACGCTTTAGAGTGATGCATTGTTTCTATTTATTATGGTAGAAGAAGAAAGACCGGGTCTTTTATTTCTCCATCGTCCCGTAACAACCACGTGGAGGTCAAGGAAAGACAAGGGTGAGATGGCCGTTGATTGTGGAGTCGTACGAGTTGGCCTGGGAGCTGACGCAGATGTCAATACGGCTGTGACCTTTACCAAAGAACGCTGACCCCGTGTCTACTACCTTCGGAGAAAGAACAATTCACAGCTAAACATTGCCACGTCATATATGAGTATCACACAAGGATTTAGCAGCCCTAAATGTGCGACGCTTAGGGTCGTTACTGTATAATTATGCGGGGATGGAGGCTATTAGATATCCATATGTGAAAATAGTATACACACACATTGCTATCTATGACGGTGTCTACCACACCTGTAATACAGGTGATCGAAGTTACCTGACCCACCTTAAAGACAATGTGCTTGTTGTATCTGTGATTCATCTGCTGGTGTACATTGCTATCTGTGACGGCGTCTACCACACCTGTAATACAGGTGATCGAAGTTACCTGACCCACCTTAAAGACAATGTGCTTGTTGTATCTGTGATTCATCTACTGGTGTACATTGCTATCTGTGACGATGTCTACCACACCTGTAATACAGGTGATCGAAGTTACCTGACCCACCTTAAAGACAATGTGTTTGTTGTATCGCTGGTTCATCTCGGGGATACAGATGCTGGTGCCGTAGGCAATGCCGGCGTGGTTGTCCATGGCAACACTCACATAGCTCGCACTACCAGCAAGAAATTGCTGAAATAAAAAAAAAAAAACAGCAGACGCTTGAAAATCTCACTGAGATTGTCCTTGCACTTACCAAACCATGACTCTTACCATACCATGTTCAGGCTGTTTAGTGACCTTATCATATTAAACATTTTAATAAAAAAGAAACGCACAGGCCAGAAATATGGAAATGTATTGAACGTATTTAAGTGTACATAAGTAAATTAAGGCCCCCGTTACACAGGACGGCGACCGCTCTGCCTTCCCTCTGCGTTCTAACAATTTTCAGAACGCCACTGGACGCTCAAAGGAGGCACGAGGAACGCAGAGAGAAGGCAGAGAGCCATCGCCATGAAGGCAGAAAGAAGGCAGAGCCAATGCCAAGAACGGCTCAGAACGGCACTGCAGTGGCGACTGGATTGAACATGCTCTAAACAAACGCAGAGCGGTCACCGTCATTGTTGATTGATCACAGGACGCAGACGGAAGACAGAGGTCACAGAGGGAAGACAGAGGTCACAGAGTGAAGGCACAACGGTTGGCGAAAGGACGCCACATAAAACCCTTGTAAACTGCCACGTTGTCCCTGCCTTCTCTCTGCCTTCATTGTGCGTCTGTCGAGCATCCATTGGCGTTCATTGAGCATTCACTCTGCCTTCATTCAGCGACTAGCGCATCCCTTTGAACAACCGCAGCGTTCGCTCTGCCTTTACTCTGCCTTTCCAGATTACATATAAATAGGTCTTGCACTGCCGATTTCCACGGTATTTGAGAACAAACAATATACACACATTGATATCTTATTTTGAAATCTAGATATCCATAACGAGCTCATAAGACTAATAAAGAGTAAATATATGAACATCATCAAACAATTCCATTCAGTTCCATACACAACACTTCAAATACAATAGTTGAAGATCCGTTGCCCCTTGGTGAGTGCCCTTATTGAATATGGCTTCATCATGTGGGTTCTGAGGGCAAATACATCATCCCCGAGTAGGAAGAATGGTATGTCACGGTCATCATTCGGCAATGGATCAGGAGTTGGAAAGTTTATTGTGCCATCTTCGAGGCTGGTCTTCAGTTCAGAATCTGAACTTCAGATTCATTGAAAATCTAACTGTCTGACATCGTTCCAACACACCAACATCACACCATAAAGATGTATAATTTGCATCCACTAATGCAAGAAGGACAAGAGAGAAGTATCCCTTATAGTTGTGGTAGAGACTGCCTGTGTTTGGTGGACAACGCACGGCTATATGTTTCCCATCAATGGCTCCACATGCATGGGGTAAGTTCCAACGTCTCTGAAAGTCATCTACAACAGCTTTCCACTCTTGGGAGTTCCTTGGGCATTTGAGAGCTTCATTCTTATATTCATCTCGGATAGCTCTGCAAACTTCAGGCACAAAAATGGAGATCGTACTGCGTGACACACGATACTGGTACTGGAGGCTTGGGTATTTGTCCCCAGTTGTAAGGAACCTGATGGTTACGGCAAGTTTCAAACCATGCTCTAAATTCGCTCGCCGATTTGTGTTCTGTTTTGCGATTCCTTGGCCAACCCGTTGTAGAAGTTCGTCAAAAGGGGCTGGCTCTATTCTCAGATAATTGTAGAATGACCCTTCATCTTCAAGACGCAGTTCTTGCATTAGTTGGTTGTAGTCCCCGTATTGCAACCGTCTGTGTTGCGTCAACCATGGGCGGACCCACAGGGTTCTCAAGCTTCTTGTTCTACGTCTATTTATCCTCCTATTTAAGATGGCAATGGCTATCTGGTTGAAAAACAATGCTTGTTGACCTTGCAAAAAAGTTATTTGCAAACGCAGTTCATTGTTCATGCTTACTGAAGTCGTTATAAGATGATTTCATTTAGCCCGCTCGTATGAAACTAATGATAAAATGTCGTAGTCGGGTACTTATATACCTAGAGTATGCAGGTTGCCAAACAGTCGCCACATGACGCAGAGAGAAGGCAGAGCGAACGCCAGAGAATGCACAAGGAAGGCACAACGGTCGGCTAGAAGGCAGAAGCAACGCTGAACGGACGCCGTTATTTGCATATGATGGTTCAGAGAAGGCAGAGGGAAGGCAGAGAGGACGCCTAGGACGTTCAAAGAACGCCACTAAAATGTCAAAAATGGCATCTTAGGTAGTATGCGGAAGGTACAAGGGACGCCGGACCATAGGTATGGCGACCGTTGTGCGTCCTGGTCATTTTTAGAACGCAGAGAGAAGGCAGAGCGGTCGCCGTCCTGTGTAGAGGGGGCCTTTAAGCTTGAACATAGATGAACGGAATTCGACACAGACGGATGAACGTATGTATTGTTGTCACTGTTAGCATTAAGTCAGTTCACTCACTGAACATGTGAGGACACAAGGGGGCGTTCAGGTCAGTAAGCGGTGACACCACCCTTGCATTGCAGTTGTCACTGCTGGACACCGCCTTGGAAGGGATTGGAAGTCGTCGGATTTCTGCTTGGGGAATTCTTCGCCATTCCTCCTGCAACGGTTGGCAAGTGTCTGATGACGATGGTGACGTTCACGGACGCGTCGATCATTTACGTCCCATAGATGCTCGATCGGATTCAGATCAGGCGGATTGGAAGGCAAGTGAAGACCATTGACGTTTTCACTGGCGAGATAGGCACCTGTTACACGAGCTGTGTGGGGTCGAGTGTTGTCGTGCTGAAACAGCTCCCTCTGGTGGGGAATGGGATTGGGAGGAGGTGAGATCGCAGGATTTGGCCGATGTAGCGATTTGCCGTAAGATCGCCTTCAACCACCGCTAGCTCTGATCTACCAGTGTAGGACATGGCTCCCCACACCATGACGCCCACTCCGCCAAATCTGTCCACCTGTCGAACGCTGTTCGGCGCAAAACGTTCGTGTCCAGGTCAATAGACACGTTGTCTCATCCAAGCGATTCATCGCTGAACCAAACGCGTTGCCAGTTCTCCAGGTTCGATGTCTGTATCCTGTTGCACTATTGGACACGTCAGTATAGTCGTGCCAGGGCCCCGTTTCACAAAGCTCTCGTAAGCCTAAAATCTCGTAACTTTTCTCATAGCATTCGTAGTCCCTATGTTACAGTATAGGAGGTACGAATACTACGAGAAAAGTTACGAGATCTTAGGCTTACGAGAGCTTTGTGAAACAGGGTCCAGGACAGGTCACATAATGATAAGGTCAGTAGTTGTATGTTATCATACCAAGTTCAGTGTGTCTATAGACCTCATCATATACACATGGAACTTAATTAAGCACCCCCTAATATTTCATCATAGCGATGTAGCTATCGACGATGATGATATGTTAATGTTGCCTTTGTTTAGTAGCATATTTCAGTTAATGAACAACAAGGTTTCGGTTTGCAAGGGTTCGCCAAAACGCAGACCATATGCATATGAAGCATTATGGCCACTCATATCATGTAAAGAAGCATCTCTGCCTGACCGTTCAAGAGTATAAAACTTGTGAATATCTGTTTCATCTATACACGTTAACATGGAGAGGAGAAAACTTCCAATGGAACTGAGATTATAGCAGATACTAGTAGTCGGTATGCATGCATCTGGCATGTTATTCGGGGTCATCGGGCGTCAACTTGGCTACCGTCACCCTGACATCAGTAAATTTCAGATGTCCAGCTCTGACTCATGAACATCCAAGCCAACGTCTGAATCTTCTGCCATGGAGACGGATCACGTGGTTAGACGCATTTCACGCAGGTCATCTGAGAGTTTGGAAGAGTTGTTTTTAATGTTATGGTGAAACCCCAACAAACATTTTATATCCTCAGATTACTTACCTGTAGCGTCCTGAGTCTAGCGCCCCTCATGTCCACAAAGCCTCCCTCAAGCGGGTTGTCGGCGGGGTAGTAGGCCGTGCCACGTGCAGAGTACCGGTGACCCCCGGGACAGTCTAGAGCGCCTCCCCCTTCAAATGAGATGGCGTCTTACTTGGTACATCACAACAGAATTATACTATCACCGGGACAGTCTAGAGCGCCTCCCCCTTCAAATGAGATGGCGTCTTACTTGGTACATCACAACAAAATATTCCTAACACCGGGACAGTCTAGGCCGCCCCCCGGCCCCCTTCAACTTTCCAATGTTAGACAGTGCTTCTGTATAAGTACATACATGTGTAGTTAGTGAGTACATGTACAAGTGTGTAAGTACCTGTGTTGTTAGTGTGTACATGTACAGGTGTGTACGTACCTGTGCTGTTAGTGAGTACATGTACAGGTGTGTACGTACCTGTGTTGTTAGTGAGTACACGGGGGCTGGGGTAGTGGACATGTCAGGTGCAGGTTGAACACCAACCCAGAGATCGTGTTATAAAACCCTGTGACACATGTACAGGTGTGTACGTTCCTGTGCTATTAGTGAGTACATGTACAAGTGTGTGCGTACCTGTGTTGATAGTGTGTACATGTACAGGTGTGTAAGTACCTGTGTTGATAGTGTGTACATGTACAGATGTGTACGTACCTGGGTTGTTAGTGAGTACATGTACAAGTGTGTACGTACCTGGGTTGATAGTGTGTACATGTACAGATGTGTACGTACCTGTGTTGATAGTGTGTACATGTACAGATGTGTACGTACCTGGGTTGTTAGTGAGTACATGTACAAGTGTGTACGTACCTGTGTTGATAGTGTGTACATGTACAGATGTGTACGTACCTGGGTTGTTAGTGAGTACATGTACAAGTGTGTACGTACCTGTGTTGATAGTGTGTACATGTACAGATGTGTACGTACCTGGGTTGTTAGTGAGTACATGTACAAGTGTGTACGTACCTGTGTTGATAGTGTGTACATGTACAGATGTGTACGTACCTGGGTTGTTAGTGAGTACATGTACAAGTGTGTACGTACCTGTGTTGTTAGTGAGTACATGTACAGGTGTGTACGTACCTGTGTTGTTAGTGAGTACACGGGGGCTGGGGTAGTGGACATGTCAGGTGCAGGTTGTAGATGGGCTGGGGTAGTGGGCGTGTAAGGTGTAGGTTGTGGGTGGGCTGGAGTAGTGGGCGTGTAAGGTGCAGGTTATGGGTGGGCTGGGGTAGTGGGCGTGTAAGGTGTAGGTTGTGGGTGGGCTGGGGTAGTGGGCGTGTAAGGTGTAGGTTGTGGGTGGGCTGGGGTAGTGAGTGTGTAAGGTGTAGGTTGTGGGTTGGCTGGGGTAGTGGACATGTAAGGTGCAGGTTGTGGGTGGGCTGGGGTAGTGGGCGTTTAACGTGTGGGTTGTGGGTGGGCTGGGGTAGTTGACATTTAAGGTGTGGGTTGTGGGTGGGCTGGGGTAGTGGGCGTGTAGGTGTGGGTTGTGGGTGGGCTGGGGTAGTGGGCGTGTAAGGTGTGGGTTGTGGGTGGGCTGGGGTAGTGGGCGTGTAAGGTGTGGGTTGTGGGTGGGCTGGGGTAGTGGGCGTGTAAGGAGCAAGTTGCGGGTGGGCTGGGGGTAGTGGGCGTGTAAGGTGTAGGTTGTGGGTGGGCTGGGGTAGTGGGCGTGTAAGGTGTAGGTTGTGGGTGGGCTGGGGTAGTGGACGTGTAAGGTGTAGGTTGTGGGTGGGCTGTGGTAGTGGGCGTGTAAGGTGCAGGTTGTGGGTGGGCTGGGGTAGTGGGCGTGTAAGGTGTAGGTTGTGGGTGGGCTGGGGTAGTTGTCATTTAAGGTGTCGGTTGTGGGTGGGCTGGGGTAGTGGGCGTGTAAGGAGCAAGTTTCGGGTGGGTTGGGGTAGTGGGCGTGTAAGGTGTGGGTTGTGGGGGGCTGGGGTAGTGGACGTATAAGATGTGGGTTGTGGGTGGGCTGGGGTACTGGGTATGTAAGGTGCAGCTTGTGGGTGGGCTGGGGTACGGGTGTGTAAGGTGTAATCACTCTAATCACTATACTACAGACTTAGACAACCCTTTAATCCCTATACTACAGACTTAGACAACCCTCTAATCCTTTTACTTCAGACTTAGACAACCCTCTAATCATTATACTACAGTATCCCTATACTACAGACTTACAAACTTAAACCCTCTAATCATTATACTACAGTATCCCTATACTACAGACTTACAAACTTAAACAACCCTCTAATCCCAATACTACAGACTTAAACTAACCTCTAATCCCTATATTACAGGCTTAGACAACCCTCTAATCCCCATTTTACAGACTTAGACAACCCCCTAATCATTATACTACAGACTTAAACAACCCTCTAATCCCTACATTACTGACTTAGACAACCCTCTAATCCCTACATTACTGACTTAGACAACCCTCTAATCCCTATACTACAGACTTAAACAACCCTCTAATCCCTGTATTACAGACTTAAACAACCCTCTAATCCATACATTACTGACTTAGACAACCCTCTTATCCCTATATTACAGACTTAAACAACCCTTTAAACCTATTTTACAGACTTAGACAACCCTCTAATCATTATACTACAGTATCCCTATGCTACAGACTTACAAACTTAAACAACCCTCTAATCCCAATACTACAGACTTAGACAAGCCTCTAATCCTTTTACTTCAGACTTAGACAACCCTCTAATCATTATACTACAGTATCCCTACAGGCTACAGACTTAAACTAACCTCTAACCCCTATATTACAGGCTTAGACAACCCTCTAATCCCCATTTTACAGACTTAGACAACCCCCTAATCATTATACTACAGACTTAAACAACCCTCTAATCCCTATATTACAGACTTAGACAACCCTCTTATCCTTATATTACAGACTTAAACAACCCTCTAATCCCTATATTACAGACTTAGACAACCCTCTAATCCTTATACTACAGACTTAAACAACCCTCTAATCCCTATATTACAGCCTAAGACAACCCTCTTATCCCTATATTACAGACTAAGACAACCTTCTAATCCCTTTATTACAGACTTAGACAACCCTCTAATCCCAATACTACAGACTTAGGCAACCCTTTAATCCATATACTACAGACTTCAACAACCCTCTAATCCGTATACTACGGACTTCAACAACTCTCTAATCCTTATACTACAGAATTAAACAACCCACTAATCGCTTTACTACAGACTTGAAACCCCACTTACCCCTATACTACAGACTTAGACAACCCTCTAATCCCTGTATTACAGACTTAGACAACCCTCTAATCTCTATACTATAGACTTAGACAACCCTCTAATCCCTATAGTACAGACTTAAAACCCCACTAATCCCTATACTACGGACTTACACAACCCTGTAATCCCTATATTACAGACTTAGACAACCCTCTAATCTCTATACTATAGACTTAAACAACCCTCTCATCCCTATACTACAGACTTAAAGATCCCTCTAATCCCCTTACTACGGACTTAGACAACCCTCTAATCCTTATACTACAGACTTAAACTAACCTCTAATCCCTATATTACAGGCTTAGACAACCCTCTAATCCTTATACTACAGACTTAAACAACCTTCTAATCCCTTTATTACAGACTTAGACAACCCTCTTATCCCTATATTACAGACTTAGACAACCCTCTAATCCCTATACTACAGATTTAAACAACCCTATAATCCCTATACTACAGAATTGAACAACCCTCGGGGCTGGGGTAGTGGGCGTGTAAGGCTTAGGTTGTGGGTGGGTTTGGATAGTGGGCGTGTAAGGAGCAGGTTGTTGGTGGGCTGGGGTAGTAGGCGTGTAAGATGTAGGTTGTGAGTGGGCTGGTGTAGTGGGCGTGTAAGGTGCAGGTTGTTGGTGGGCTGGGGTAGTGGGTGTTGCGTGTAAGGTGCAGGTTGTTGGTGGGCTGGGGTAGTGGGTGTGGCGTGTAAGGTGCAGGTTGTGGGCGGGCTGGGGTAGTGGGCGTGTAAGGTGCAGGTTGTGGGCGGGTTGGGTTAGAGTAGGAGGCTTGGGAGTTCAGAGCTATACGTTGCACTCTGCAATATTCCAGCTGTGCGATGTGTGATAAACGGTGGAAGAAGCTTGTGGTTATGAGAATGAAGATATTAGCACATTCATGAGTGGGAATCAAGCAACTTTACTTTACCTGTTATCTATATAAATATATTATCAATCGCTGCTACACCTGCCAGCCCCCGCCACCTGTCCACAACCCAGCCACCCGTCCAGTCATTAATGCACTACAAGAAATGACTACAAGAAATGACTACCTGCAGCCAAGGCGACACAGGCCGAGAGACACACCAGTAACAACATGGCGCCCACAGTGAAGTCGTATTGTGGCCAGATAGGTCCAGATATTGCCTGGGACATCACCTGTCTGCTCCCAGCACTGAACATATGGGCCATGCTAAGTGAGGTAGTCTAATCCCTATAGTACAGACTTAGACAACCCTCTAATCCTGAGAGCCAGTAAGCGGTAGTATTTACCAATACACTTTCAATTTCCCTAAACAACCCTCTAATCCTTATACTACATACTTAAACAGCCCACTAATCCCTATACTACAGACTTAAACAGCCCAGTAATCCCTATACTACAGACTTAACAGCCCACATATCCCCTCCTTTAACAACTCCACTTCCTACTCCTGTAAAGTTCACCCTTGTTATGCACAACACTGGCAAACACCCACTCCACCCTACAAGATATCCTCGTAATCCCACCATCACAACGATGATCTTCCACCCATGGAAAGCTACACCGAATCCTTTAGAACCCGGGACAATATCCCTGACAATTATGGCCACGTACCGAAACCCCAACACCACACCCACAGAGGCAACCACCACCCAACAACGTAAAGCCAAACGCATCACCCGCTACAGATCCTGGCAACCACCACCCAACAACGTAAAGCCAAACGCATCACCCGCTACAGATCCTGGCAACCACCACCCAACAACGTAAAGCCAAACACGTCACCCGCTACAGATCCTGGCAACCACCACCCAACAACGTAAAGCCAAACGTATCACCAGCTACAGATCCTGGCAACCACCATCAAACAACGCAAAGCCAAACGTATCACCCGCTACAGATCCTGGCAACCACCACCTAACAACGTAAAGCCAAACGTATCACCCGCTATAGATCCTGGCAACCACCCCACCTTTCTCTTGTCTCAACCGCGTCGTCCACCGCACTTACCGCGGCCCAGTCGGCTAACAAACTGGGATTTGGGTTTAAAAAGAGAAAAAGAAAAGAAGGTACACACCTATACTTACGGAGCACAACCCCAACCGCAGCTCGAAAGGCAATAACCAGTCACAAACTCCACCACAGCCCTACAGGCAATACCCAATCACAAACCCCACACATTATGGCGGAAAGCGCACGTAAAATCTCGACATGATGATCATGAGGAAGGTATCCCCATTATGGTTGGTATGCGCAGAGATGAGTACACTGAATACACCTTGATGGTCCCCCAACTCTATAGTTTGGCATGAAATGCATGTGGACCCGGTTTTTTTGTAAATATCTCTTCATCCAATGACCCAGTCGATCTCAAACTGTGCAAGTGGATGTTTTGTCAGACAACCTAATCACATTGTAAATCACCGATTTTATGCATTTGTATTAAAGAATCTGTCTATGTAACTGTCAACAAAATAAACAGCAGAACGCAGAATGCTTGCAGAGGGAGGGAGCCAATGACCTGTAACAGCGGCAGTGTTGGGTCATAGGTACCAGAGGAATACACCGGAGGTGTATGAACAAGAATGTTCCATTGTTGGAGACGTACCAACACGAGTTGATAAAGTTACAAATATCCGAGGCTTGCATACATAACACATATACATGTGGTATATGTTATTGTTGCAGTCGGTAAAGTAAAGTGAACTGCTTTCCTGTGATCATGGGAAGGTTTTATGAACGTCAAAAATACATGTCAAGATAAATTGTGCATGTCTCGTATTAAGTCTCGAGGTAAGAAGTCAAACCATCGGTGTTGAGAGATAATGAACAAGTCATTGCATTGGGAGACGTTACATCATTCATATTGGGAGACTAATAAAGACGTTACACCATTAGTGTTGAGAGACGAATGAAGACGTTACAGCTTTAGTGTTGGGAGACGAATGGAGACGTTACACCATTAATATTGGGAGACAAATGAAGACGTTACACCATTAGTGTTGGGAGACGAATAAAGACGTTACACCATTAATATTGGGGGACGAATGAAGACGTTACACCATTAGTGTTGGGAGACTAATAAAGACGTTACACCATTAGTGTTGGGAGACGAATAAAGACGTTACATCATTCATATTGGGAGACAAATGAAGACGTTACACCATTAGTGTTGGGAGACGAATTAAGACACCATTAGTGTTGGGAGACGAATTAAGACGTTACACCATTAATATTGGGGAGACGAATAAAGACGTTACACCATTAGTGTTGGGAGACGAATAAAGACGTTTCATTCATATTGGAGACAAATGAAGACGACCATTAGTGTTGGGAGACGAATAAAGACGTTACACCATTAGTGTTGGGAGACAAATGAAGACGTTACACCATTAGTGTTGGGAGACGAATAAAGACGTTACATCATTCATATTGGGAGACAAATGAAGACGTTACACCATTAGTGTTGGGAGACGAATTAAGACGTTACATCATTCATATTGGGAGACTAATAAAGACGTTACACCATTAGTGTTGGGAGACGAATAAAGACGTTACATCATTCATATTGGGAGACAAATGAAGACGTTACACCATTAGTGTTGGGAGACGAATGAAGACGTTACACCATTAGTGTTGGGAGACGAATGGAGACGTTACACCATTAATATTGGGAGACAAATGAAGACGTTACACCATTAGTGTTGGGAGACGAATAAAGACGTTACATCATTCATATTGGGAGACAAATGAAGACGTTACACCATTAGTGTTGGGAGACGAATTAAGACGTTACATCATTCATATTGGGAGACTAATAAAGACGTTACACCATTAGTGTTGGGAGACGAATAAAGACGTTACATCATTCATATTGGGAGACAAATGAAGACGTTACACCATTAGTGTTGGGAGACGAATTAAGACGTTACACCATTAGTGTTGGGAGACGAATGGAGACGTTACACCATTAATATTGGGAGACAAATGAAGACGTTACACCATTAGTGTTGGGAGACGAATAAAGACGTTACACCATTAATATTGGGAGACGAATGAAGACGTTACACCATTAATATTGGGAGACGAATGAAGACGTTACACCATTAGGGTTGGGAGACGAATAAAGACGTTACACCATTAATATTGGGGGACGAATGAAGACGTTACACCATTAGTGTTGGGAGACGAATTAAGACGTTACACCATTAGTGTTGGGAGACGAATTAAGACGTTACACCATTAATATTGGGAGACGAATGAAGACGTTACACCATTAATATTGGGAGACGAATAAAGACGTTACACCATTAATATTGGGAGACGAATTAAGACGTTACACCATTAGTGTTGGGAGACGAATGAAGACGTTACACCATTAGTGTTGGGAGACGAATGAAGACGTTACAGCATTAGTGTTCGGAGACGAATGAAGACGTTATACCGTTAGTATTGGGAGACGAATGAAGACGTTACAGCTTTAGTGGAGTGCGGAAGGTCGCGGGTCCGATCCCCGACCGCGTCATACCAAAAGACGTTAAAATATTGTACTTGTTGGTCCCTGCCTGGCGCTCGGCATTAATGGGTACAACAAGGACTGGTTGGCTCGGGGTCAGTATAATGTGTCTGAGTGGGGTATTCATGCTTCACTGCGGCATGGTATCTCAGTGAGCTAGCACTATAAAACCAGCTTCAGTCTGGGCTAGGACAAGCAGCCGCACATACACATATACACGCATGCACGTCGTCATATGAGCGAAATATTCTCAAGCACGACGTTAAACCCAATTCCACCATCACCACCACTACAGCTTCAGTGTTGAGAGACAAATGAAGACGTTACAGCTTTAGTGTTGAGAGACGAATGAACACGTTACAGCTTTAGTATTGGGAGACAAATGAAGACGTTACAGCTTTAGTGTTGAGAGACGAATGAAGACGTTACAGCTTTAGTGTTGGGAGACGAATGAAGACGTTACAGCTTTAGTGTTGGGAGACGAATGAAGACGTTACAGCTTTAGTGTTGGGAGACGAATGAAGACGTTATACCGTTAGTATTGGGAGACGAATGAAGACGTTACAGCTTTAGTGTTGGGAGACGAATGAAGACGTTACAGCTTTAGTGTTGGGAGACGAATGAAGACGTTACAGCTTTAGTGTTGGGAGACGAATGAAGACGTTACAGCTTTAGTGTTGGGAGACGAATGAAGACGTTACAGCTTTAGTGTTGGGAGACGAATGAAGACTTTACAGCTTTAGTGTTGGGAGACGAATGAAGACGTTATACCGTTAGTATTGGGAGACGAATGAAGACGTTACAGCTTTAGTGTTGGGAGACGAATGAAGACGTTACACCATTAGAGTTGAGATACGAGTGAAGAAATTAATATCATAGAAGTGAAGTCACATTTGATTCGGTTTGTGACTGAGACGGTTATATCCTCATATTTGTAGGATTGTACATGCCAGTTATAGCGTGTGTTCAAACGAAACACAACAAAGATTACTAAAATCAATTTCATATTTTGAGAGTTTTATGTTCTTCTAAATGACAGCATGTCAGCATAGAGGATGATAACAGTATTCCTTTGCTACCGCAAGTAGCCAAGGCAGCACTGACAATAAGCAGAAACAGGAAGACGTATTGTTTCTTTCAACACCAACGAACATCTGGTACTTCCTGGTTAAAGGGACACAACGCCGTATGTTCTAAATAGATGGAAGTTGAATTAAAGTCGAGTTTGGTCTTCATTTAAAGCAGCAGTGGGTTTCGGGTGTCTTGATCCTTGCCTTTGATTTCAACTACTGCTATGGCACAGAACATGACCTGTCCATCCTGGTTCTTCAGATTCACTTTGGCTTTGTAGATACCCTGGAACAAGACAGTCAGCTTTAATGAGTGAGTGAGTATGGTTTTACACGGCTTTTAGCAATATTCCAGCAATATCACGGAGGGGGGCACCAGAAATGGTCCTCATACATCGTACCCAGGTGGGAATCGAACCGGGTCTTCGGCTTGACGAGCGAACGCTTTGACCACTCGGCTACCCCACCGCCCTCATTCAGCTTTAGCCAATCACAGAGCGGCAGTATCGCCACCAAGATTCCATGTAAGTGACTAATTCCTCTACCTGTCTGAGGAACACTGCGCTACACTATCAAGTGTTCTACTGTTAGTAAAGTCTTATACCAGACAACTGTTACATCGCCCTTGATTCAAGAACATCGCCCTCCGCCCTTTGACTCAAGAGCAGGTGATCCTAAAGATGTAGGTCAGAAATTGTATAATATCTCCTTTACTCGCACGTCGGTTGATACTAACATCTATGTTTCCCTCAAACTGAAGGAACCACGAATAAGTTAACAAACATCACCTTTGCCCACTGACAGAAGAATAGACACATTGAAAGTCGTAGTATATGAGATCTCCATATTATTGGTGAACGTCCTTTAAGAGTTCAGCCAGGGCTCTGAAAGCGGTCAAGGACCGTGTTCGCCTTCAATCATGCTTGTCCTAACAACGGGCTATGTTATTGGGTTGACAGGGTCGCTGACGTGTTTGACACATGTCATTTTATCTCCATTGCGTAGATAGATGCTCATGGTTTCAATCACTGGATTTACTGACCGAGGCTTTATACTAAGAGGCCGTCGCCATATAACTTTAAATATTGCTGAGTGCGATCATAGTGCTTAGTATGAACTGATGAGGTCATTAACTAATATCACCACAAGCATGCCAAATGTCAGATACATACATCATAACCTTTAAGGATGAGCAGGTTCGAGTAGGGGTAGGTTCCATGGAAAGTTGCTGGAAAATCAAAAGTTGAACATTGCAGAATCATCGCATATGCTTAGTATTGCATTCAAATTGTACACTTAACTGAACCTAACCCAAACACAGTGGCATGTAAAGGACACTCGTGTACATGGAAAGGATCACAGTCTTCTTTGTAGTGAGTGAGTGATTTATGGTTTAACGCCGCTTTTAGCAATATTCCAGCAATATCACAGCGGGAACACCAGAAATGGGCTTCACACATAGTACCCATGTGGGGAATCGAACCCGGGTCTTCGGCGTGACGAGCGAACACTTTAACCACTAGGCTACCACACCGTTCCATCCTCTTTGTAACAGATAAGGACATTCGATGAATTTGAACTATTGAGATGACATTCAAACATTTTGAAAACTTCCTTTTTTAATGGTACCAAATTCAGAACTCTCGTAACACTCATTTGTCATAGAAGGATAATGACAGGAAAGAGACATGAAAACTTACGTCCGCCCTTGAAAGGACAGGGAATGTATTTCTTGACTTCATCGCAGGTGACGGGGAACGAGTCTTCAAAGATGGGGTTTTGTATCTTGTTGAAGTACAGGGCTACGTCAGCAATTCCCGAGTTGAAGTCGTGAGCTGAAACATAATGGTCATTAGTATCACTTTCGTCAAACATGGAAGTATTCCTATACCCAGAACGACACAAGTCAAACAAGGAGGGACGTCACTGATCACTGAATGTACGACTAACGAAGTTCAGATGTCGCAAGTACCTCTGAGACATTCAACCAGCCTGTCATATTAACCGTGATGGAAATGTCAGAAGTCACTGAACAAGGGTAGTAGTTGAGTGTTGTTGCAGGAGATACTTACGGATCTTATAGGTGTAGTTGACAACGATACTCCCCTCGGGGTCGAGAACCTTGGGCTCCCACGTCACATTGAACTTAGGGTCTGTTGGGCCTGGAATGTAGTCAGAGTTCTACCTGTTAGAATGAACGTAATATTGTTCACAGTTCTTGTTTTTATCCCAAACCTCTGTATCACCTTGACCGTAACCCAAGTCGTCGTTGCCCCACTGAGAGCTCCATAACAATTCCCTAGGGAATCCCCATTACCCTGTCCCTAAACGAAGCGGTTTTATACTCCTGGATCCTGTGCATCATCGTGTCCCTAACAGCCGGCCGTTTGTAGTACTCTGAAACCTCTATCGTCATCTTGTTCCCAACCGTTGGCCTTTACACTCCTTATATATACATCTCTTCAGTCCAATAACATAGCACCTAATTTAGAAAACACACGCACACGCACACGCACACGCACACGTATGTATCAGACATCGATCTTACTGCAGCTCTGCACATGGCCGGCCTCGGTGAGTTGTTTCGAGCCGCCACTCGCAAAGTCACGGGACAAGCCGTAGAACGCATTCCTAATGGCGTCCTTCAGCAACACGTTGCCTTGCACCGACGTCAGGAACAGCACCAACATCAACGTGATCGGCGAAGTCATCTGAAGGATCGTAAAGGGTAACACATGAGAGCTATGATTCAGGGAATGAAAGGTGTGCCGAAAACTTCTTGACATTTATGGCTAAGGGGGTGATGATGATTTTTATGGAGAAGCATGTACAATGCGAATGACCACCTCCCTCCTCCCCCCCAAAAAAAACAAAAATATATATATATATATTTCAAAAATAAAATTAAAAAGATTAAATAAATATATTGTGTACAAAGTAGGTGACACCTCCCCTGTTTGCATGTCATGTACAAAATCAATGACGCCTGGCACCCCCAAAACAAGTGTACAAAACTGATAATTTTGGTTTTACTTTTTACAGATAGTATTCCCAGAAATTATTGTGAAAGTTGTTTCGGCAAATATCTAATACTTGTATAAAAAACTATAGACGTTTTATTTAAATGAATATGTTGAGATATGATTCTCTTACAGTCTAAGTGTCTTGTCAGTACTTTGTGAGACCTCCTTGTCCTGCAAACAGGACTGGATGCGCCTAGGTACAGTTTGTTGGAAATCGTGTGACAGCGTATCGCAATTTTCGACCACTTCTTTCTTCATAGGGGCGGTGGGGTAGCCACGTGGTTAAAGCGTTTGCTCGTCACGCCGAAGACCCGTCGTCGATTCCCCACATGGGTAAACTGTGAAATATCGGGCTATGTTTTGGGCGTTGGTAAATAGGTTTCACGGTATCATTTGTCCAAATTTTCACAAAGTTTGGAATAAGCCAGACAGAAAGAAAACATTATCCCAATCTTGATTTTCGTGAGCCTTACTTTGAAAACGCCTTCCTCTTTGTGCATCGTTCATCAATGGTGAGGGAATTCCGCGCTTTTTCACCCACGTAAGTCTTTGTCATTCTAGTCCATGGGTTTCAATACATACGTGAGGACTTCCTCTATTAATCATCTCATTTCTGATATTATCAACGCTTTTCAGTTTTCCCCTTCTCACAATTTGACCAAGTCGCCGGCGATCCGTAGTACTGAACTTCCTCCTCCCCCTTGCCCTCCCTGTCTTGAGCTCAATCCCAATTCCTCACTGAATATTCTTCAAAGTTCTGTATTTTGAAGAATGTCGTGTCTACCAGCTAAATCTTTTTGTATTACTCACGCCCCTTTCAAAATCTTCTTTGATGGGCATTTTAGAAGTTGAGTTGATGAAGAATTGAAGAATGATGACCATTTTTATGGATACACAACTTCTTTCATTCTGTGAAGGGCGACGTTTCGACATAGATTCTAAGGTTGCTTGACAACATTAGAATCTATGTCGTAAAGTCGCCCTTCACAGAATAACAGAAGTTGTATATCCATAAAAAATGCCATCATTCTTCCTTTCAGAGTCGTCTAGAGCCTGCTTTCTATTCTCTTCTGCTGTCAACTCTGCCACATCAACAAAGGCAGCCGTCTGATACATCAGGGGAGAAACTATTGATGTAGTAAGAGTCATTCTTAAGCCCACCAGAGTTGCCTCCCATATTGAGTACCTTACTACACAATGTAACACCTATTTTAAAATTCTATTATCAATATAAGGAAACAAAGATTTTCTCGATAATTTCTGGGAAAGCTGTATTTTACGAATATTGATCATCGTATGTCACGTGACAGGAAATAAAGCTGTTATCTAAGAAGCTACAAGGAAGTCGTGAAGGGAACAGAAATGTGAAACTCCAGGGGACGGTCAACAAACTAACCCCAGCGGAACAAGGAATTAATTAGTCTCCTATCGTGTAAACCTGATCGAAAACCCATGTGACATGACCTTGCAGGCATGGCCGTGTTTGAATTAATCTTGGGAACGAATAACATCATACCTCAATCGCTGTTGTTTTACGATTCGGTCAGGAGCTACACACTCACTGCCCAGTTTTTGTAGGCACCCAGCTTGTGGTCTAGATAGCTGGTGTATACTTGGGAGAGCCACGGGGTGATGTAGTACACAGTCGCTCTTGAAACTGTCCTCCATTCTTAACCCAGAAGTGAATTAGCTAGAATAGGGTGCGTTAAGATATGTAAGAGACATACTTCCTTCCTTCTCTCTGTTCGAGCTACACTGAATGTATGTACAGTGTCTGTCATAGAGTACCTTACATATCACTACCCCCTCCCAATAATGTACACCCCCTCCCCATAATCTACCCTTTACCTCCCCATAATGTACACCCCCTCCCCATAATCTACCCTTCACCCCCCTCTTACATAATCAACCCTTCAGCCCCTTTCTATAGCATACCCTTCACCGGAGTGGTGTCACCATCAACAATCTACGCTTCACCTCCTCTCCATAAATCTACCATCTCCCCCACCCCTTAAATCTACCATCTCCATATCTACGTTCCCCGTGAACACACGTCACTCCTGCACGCCCCGGCAAGTTCTCCGTGAACACACGTCACTCCTGCACGCCCCGGCAAAGGTCTCCTTGAACACACGTCACCCCAACAGGCGAGAGATTCACCCGCCACTCTGAGGCCATGTGACCTAGTTACGACCACGGTATGGCTATTCATGGTACTGCTCGAAACAGAAATGGACTTGTGTGTTAACAACTCATGTCGTACTCTCCATGTATCTGTCGGTACATGTCGGTATACGGTACTCTCCATGTATCTGTCGGTACATGTCGGTATACGGTACACTCCATGTATAACTCTGGGTACATGTACGGAGTGGTGTCACCAACAAGGTGAAGTAAGACTCTGTACTTACCGTGGGTAGGTCGTGTTGTCCAGGCGAGAAGTGAGCGTACTGACTGTGTGCACCGAGTGTTATGCAGTTTGAAGGAGGAAGTAAAACGTCACTCGTGAATTTAAATGCAAAATCTGGGTTTCCCCACTTCAACTTACTTCCTGTTTGTGAACTGTTTTCCTTTTTGTGGGTTTTTGTATGTCCTGTTACCAGGCACAGGTGACACATAGGGGTATCGGAGGATGTTTCCATTTACTGCTATGTTTATAAGTTTATGTCAGGAGTACAAATACAGAGACACCGGTGCGTGTCATGCGTGGTTGTGACAATCAAACTATAGGATTTTATCCCTTCATTTACTTCTTGAGTATAGATCAACTATCTATAAACCCAGGTGATGGTTATAGTCCACAGGGCCTTGTGGTGCTGTCCTCTATATGGTAAAGTCCACAGGGCCTTGTGGTGCTGTCCTCTATATGGTAAAGTCCACAGGGCCTTGTGGTGCTGTCCTCTATATGGTAAAGTCCACAGGGCCTGGTGGTGCTGTCCTCTATATGGTAAAGTCCACAGGGCCTGGTGGTGCTGTCCTCTATATGGTAAAGTCCACATGGCCTGGTGGTGCTGTCCTCTATATGGTAAAGTCCACAGGGCCTGGTGGTGCTGTCCTCTATATGGTAAAGTCCACAGGGCCTGGTGGTGCTGTCCTCTATATGGTAAAGTCCACAGGGCCTGGTGGTACTGTCCTCTATATGGTAAAGTCCACAGAGCCTGGTGGTGCTGTCCTCTATATGGTAAAGTCCACAGAGCCTGGTGGTGCTGTCCTCTATATGGTGAAGTCCACATGGTCTGGTGGTGCTGTCCTCTATATGGTAAAGTCCACATGGCCTTGTGGTGTTGTCCTCTATATGGTAAAGTCCACATGGCCTAATGGTGCTGTCCTCTATATGGTAAAGTCCACATGGTCTGGTGGTGCTGTCCTCTATATGGTAAAGTCCACATGGCCTGGTGGTGTTGTCCTCTATATGGTTAAGTCCACATGGTCTGGTGGTGCTGTCCTCTATATGGCAAAGTCCACATGGCCTTGTGGTGCTGTCCTCTATATGGTAAAGTCCACATGGCCTGGTGATGCTGTCCTCTTTATGGTAAAGTCCACATGGCCTTGTGGTGCTGTCCTCTATATGGTAAAGTCCACATGGCCTGGTGATGCTGTCCTCTTTATGGTAAAGTCCACATGGCCTGGTGGTGCTGTCCTCTATATGGTAAAGTCCACAGAGCCTGGTGGTGCTGTCCTCTATATGGTAAAGTCCACAGAGCCTGGTGGTGCTGTCCTCTATATGGTAAAGTCCGCATGGCCTTGTGGTGCTGTCCTCTATATGGTAAAGTCCACAGAGCCTGGTGGTGCTGTCCTCTGTATGGTAAAGTCCACATGGCCTTGTGGTGCTGTCCTCTATATGGTAAAGTCCACATGGCCTGGTGGTGCTGTCCTCTATATGGTAAAGTCCACATGGCCTGGTGGTGCTGTCCTCTATATGGTAAAGTCCACATGGCCTGGTGGTGCTGTCCTCTGTATGGTAAAGTTCACATGGCCTGGTGGTGCTGTCCTCTATATGGTAAAGTCCACATGGTCTGGTGGTGCTGTCCTCTTTATGGTGTCATAGAAAATGATAATCATTAAAGTCTTTGGAATAGGCCCGCACAGGATCAGACGTATTCAAACCAACAAGGGACGCGATCTTTCTCTTTTCATTGAAATCATTTATATCATTACATTTTCGGTCCCTTTGGACACAAATGTGGTTGACAAGATTCAGGAGAAACATGGCAAACGATTCAGAACTCGCGTACGAAATTTCCCGAGTATCAAGAGTTGTCCGACTCATCATTGTTGTGGGTGCCTTAGGTTTTAGTACCTCCCGGTGTGTGAACCGAAAGGTTCTGGGTTAGACTGGTCAGCGCCTGAAGGGATACGTCACTGATTGCTGAGGGGATACGTCACTGATCGCTGAAGGGATACGTCACTGATCGCTGAAAGAATACGTCACTGATCACTGAAGGGATACGTCACTGATCGTCACTGATCGCTGAAGGGATACGTCACTGATTGCTGAAGGAATACGTCACTGATCGCTGAAGGGATACGTCACTGATCGCTGAAGGAATACGTCACTGATCGCTAAAGGGATACGTCACTGATTACTGAAGGGATACGTCACTGACCACTGAAGGGATACGTCACTGACCACTGAAGGGATACGTCACTGATCGCTGAAGGGATACGTCTCTCCATGACCACGGAAGGGATACGTCACTGACCACTGAAGGGATACGTCACTGAAGGGATACGTCACTGCATGATCACTGAAGGGATACGTCACTTATCACTGAAGGGATACGTCACTGATCACTGAAGTGATACGTCACTGCATGACCACTGAAGGGATACGTCACTTATCACTGAAGGGATACGTCACTGCATGATCACTGAAGGGATACGTCACTGCATGATCACTGAAGGGATACGTCACTGCATGATCACTGAAGGGATACGTCACTGCATGATCACTGAAGGGATACGTCACTGATCACTGAAGGGATACGTCTCTCCATGACCACTGAAGGGATACGTCACTGACCACTGAAGGGATACGTCACTGATCACTGAAGGGATACGTCACTGCATGATCACTGAAGGGATACGTCACTGATCACTGAAGGGATACGTCACTGCATGATCATTGAAGGGACACGTCACTGCATGATCACTGAAGGGATACGTCACTGATCACTGAAGGGATACGTCACTGAAGGGATACGTCACTGCATGATCATTGAAGGGATACGTCACTTCATGATCACTGAAGGGATACGTCACTGCATGATCACTGAAGGGATACGTCACTGATCACAGAAGGGATACGTCACTGAAGGGATACGTCACTGCATGATCACTGAAGGGATACGTCACTGCATGATCACTGAAGGGATACGTCACTGATCACAGAAGGGATACGTCACTGAAGGGATACGTCACTGCATGATCACTGAAGGGATACGTCACTGCATGATCATTGAAGGGATACGTCACTGATCGCTGAAGGGATACGTCTCTCCATGACCACTGAAGGGATACGTCACTGATCACTGAAGGGATACGTCACTGCATGATCACTGAAGAAATACGTCACTGACCACTGAGGGGATACGTCACTGATCACTGAAGGGATACGTCACTGCATGATCACTGAAGGGATACGTCACTGATCGCTGAAGGGATACGTCAGTGTACACTATTACAACTGTTTCATGATCACTGAAGAAATACGTCACTGATTACTGAAGGGATACGTCACTGACCACTGAAGGGATACGTCACTGACCACTGAAGGGATACGTCACTGATCGCTGAAGGGATACGTCTCTCCATGACCACGGAAGGGATACGTCACTGACCACTGAAGGGATACGTCACTGATCACTGAAGGGATACGTCACTGCATGATCATTGAAGGGATACGTCACTGCATGATCACTGAAGGGATACGTCACTGCATGATCACTGAAGGGATACGTCACTGATCACTGCATGAAGGATACGTCACTGCATGATGATACGTCATCACTGAAGGGATACGTCACTGCATCACTGAAGGGATCACGTCACTACGCATGATCACTGAAGGGATACGTCACTGATCACTGCATGATCACTGAAGGGATACGTCAGGATCACGATCACTGACTGAAGGGTCTGCATGATCACTGAGGGATACGTCACTGATCACTGAAGGGATACGTCACTGCATGATCACTGAAGGGATACGTCACTGATCACTGAAGGGATACGTCACTGAAGGATACGTCACTCCATGATCACTGATACGTCAATCGCTGAAGGATACATGATCACTGAAGGATACGTCACGCATGATCACTGAAGGGATACGTCACTGAAGGGATACGTCACTGCATGATCGCTGAAGGATACGTCACTGATCACTGAAGGGATACGTCACATGATCACTGAAGGGATCACTGACTGAAGGGATACGTCACTGCATGATCACTGAAGGGATCTGACCACTGAAGGGATACATGACCATGAAGCGGAACGGCTGAAGAATACGTCACTGATCACTGAAGGATACGTCACTGATCACTGAAGGGATACGTCATACGTCACATGATCACTGAAGGGATACGTCACTCACTGAAAGGATACATGATCACTGAAGGGATACGTCACTGATCACTGAAGGATACGTCACTGCATGATCACTGAAGGGATACGTCACATGATCGCTGAAGGGATACGTCACTGATCACTGAAGGGATACGTCACTCCACATGATCGCTGAAGGGATACGTCACTGATCACTGAAGGGATACGTCGTCACTGATCCACTGAAGGGATACGTCACTCACGATCATGATCACTGAAGGGATACGTCACTGATCGCTGAAGGGATATCACTGATCACTGAAGGATACGTCACCATGATCACTGAAGGGATACGTCACTGATCACTGAAGGGATACGTCACTGATCACTGAAGGGATACGTCTCACTGATCACTGAAGGGATACGTCACTGGATCGTCACTGATCTGAAGGGATACGTCACTGATCACTGAAGGGATCACTGAGGATATCGTCGCTCAGCTGATGACGTCGTCACTGATCACTGAAGGAATACGTCACTGATCGCTGAAAGGGATACGTCACTGATTACTGAAGGGATACGTCACTGACCACTGAAGGATACGTCACTGACCACTGAAGGGATACGTCACTGATCGCTGAAGGGATACGTCTCTCCATGACCACGGAAGGGATACGTCACTGACCACTGAAGGGATACGTCACTGAAGGGATACGTCACTGCATGATCACTGAAGGGATACGTCACTTATCACTGAAGGGATACGTCACTGATCACTGAAGGGATACGTCACTGCATGACCACTGAAGGGATACGTCACTTATCACTGAAGGGATACGTCACTGCATGATCACTGAAGGGATACGTCACTGCATGATCACTGAAGGGATACGTCACTGCATGATCACTGAAGGGATACGTCACTGCATGATCACTGAAGGGATACGTCACTGATCGCTGAAGGGATACGTCTCTCCATGACCACTGAAGGGATACGTCACTGACCACTGAAGGGATACGTCACTGATCACTGAAGGGATACGTCACTGCATGATCACTGAAGGGATACGTCACTGATCACTGAAGGGATACGTCACTGCATGATCATTGAAGGGACACGTCACTGCATGATCACTGAAGGGATACGTCACTGATCACTGAAGGGATACGTCACTGAAGGGATACGTCACTGCATGATCATTGAAGGGATACGTCACTTCATGATCACTGAAGGGATACGTCACTGCATGATAACTGAAGGGATACGTCACTGATCACAGAAGGGATACGTCACTGAAGGGATACGTCACTGCATGATCACTGAAGGGATACGTCACTGCATGATCACTGAAGGCATACGTCACTGAAGGGATACGTCACTGCATGATCACTTAAGGGATACGTCACTGATCACTGAAGGGATACGTCACTGCATGATCACTGAAGGGATACGTCACTGATCACAGAAGGGATACGTCACTGATCGCTGAAGGGATACGTCACTTATCACTGAAGGGATACGTCACTGCATGATCACTGAAGGGATACGTCACTGCATGATCACTGAAGGGATACGTCACTGATCACTGAAGGGATACGTCTCTCCATGATCACTGAAGGGATACGTCACTGATCACTGAAGGGATACGTCTCTCCATGATCACTGAAGGGATACGTCACTGCATGATCACTGAAGGGATACGTCACTGATAGCTGAAGGGATACGTCACTGCATGATCACTGAAGAAATACGTCTCTCCATGACCAGGGAAGGGATACGTCACTGACCACTGAAGGGATACGTCACTTATCACTGAAGGGATACGTCACTGCATGATCACTGAAGGGATACGTCACTGATCGCTGAAGGGATACGTCTCTCCATGACCACTGAAGGGATACGTCACTGATCGCTGAAGGGATACGTCACTGCATGATCACTGAAGGGATACGTCACTGCATGATCACTGAAGGGATACGTCACTGCATGATCACTGAAGGGATACGTCACTGCATGATCACTGAAGGGATACGTCACTGATCACTGAAGGGATACGTCACTGCATGATCACTGAAGGGATACGTCACTGATCGCTGAAGGGATACGTCTCCATGACCACTGAAGGGATACGTCACTGCATGATCACTGAAGGGATACGTCACTGATCGCTGAAGGGATACGTCACTGCATGATCACTGAAGGGATACGTCACTGATCGCTGAAGGGATACGTCTCTCCATGACCACTGAAGGGATACGTCACTGCATGATCACTGAAGGGATACGTCACTGATCGCTGAAGGGATACGTCACTGATCGCTGAAGGGATACGTCTCTCCATGACCACGGAAGGGATACGTCACTGACCACTGAAGGGATACGTCACTTATCACTGAAGGGATACGTCACTGCATGATCACTGAAGGGATACGTCACTGATCGCTGAAGGGATACGTCTCTCCATGACCACTGAAGGGATACGTCACTGATCGCTGAAGGGATACGTCACTGCATGATCACTGAAGGGATACGTCACTGCATGATCACTGAAGGGATACGTCACTGCATGATCACTGAAGGGATACGTCACTGCATGATCACTGAAGGGATACGTCACTGATCGCTGAAGGGATACGTCTCTCCATGATCACTGAAGGGATACGTCACTGCATGATCACTGAAGGGATACGTCACTGATCGCTGAAGGAATACGTCACTGATCGCTAAAGGGATACGTCACTGATTACTGAAGGGATACGTCACTGACCACTGAAGGGATACGTCACTGACCACTGAAGGGATACGTCACTGATCGCTGAAGGGATACGTCTCTCCATGACCACGGAAGGGATACGTCACTGACCACTGAAGGGATACGTCACTGAAGGGATACGTCACTGCATGATCACTGAAGGGATACGTCACTTATCACTGAAGGGATACGTCACTGATCACTGAAGGGATACGTCACTGCATGATCACTGAAGGGATACGTCACTTATCACTGAAGGGATACGTCACTGCATGATCACTGAAGGGATACGTCACTGATCGCTGAAGGGATACGTCTCTCCATGACCACTGAAGTGATACGTCACTGCATGATCACTGAAGGGATACGTCACTGATCGCTGAAGGGATACGTCACTGATCGCTGAAGGGATACGTCTCTCCATGACCACGGAAGGGATACGTCACTGATCGCTGAAGGGATACGTCACTGCATGATCACTGAAGGGATACGTTACTGCATGATCACTGAAGGGATACGTCACTGATCGCTGAAGGGATACGTCTCTCCATGACCACGGAAGGAATACGTCACTGACCACTGAAGGGACACGTCACTGATCACTGAAGGGATACGTCACTGCATGATCACTGAAGGGATACGTCACTGATCGCTGAAGGGATACGTCACTGAAGGGATACGTCACTGCATGATCACTGAAGGGATACGTCACTGCATGATCACTGATGGGATACGTCACTGCATGATCACTGAAGGGATACGTCACTGATCACTGAAGGGATACGTCACTGCATGATCACTGAAGGGATACGTCACTGATCGCTGAAGGGATACGTCAGTGTACACTATTACAACTGTTTCAGAGGCAGTATTACCTGAACCAACCATCACTAGAGAATACAATTAACACAGCATTAATTTGTTCAGAGAACAGCCCTTTGCTCACAGACACCACAATGAACAATGTTGTGAAAATTATCAGTCTATCTGTCTATAAAATAGGATCGACATCAAGTTTATTTAGAAATGACACCATAGTATTTAACATCATGGTCCCTCATCTTTCCGTGTTGACATCTGAATAACATTTGAGCTTTTCACAAGACCGAAATACAGGTCTCTCTAGCAACATAATGTATAAAAGTAGTAATCGATTCAATAAACTCGTATTTCATTATGAACGCATGTAATATAGGTGGCTATTTGAACAGCCACTGCTGGCAGTACACGCACACAAACTACGAAGCCTCAGAAACCAGTATAATTTGTCAGTCAGCAACGACCACGCCCACTTGCCTTTGAACCCGGAAGTGAATACAGTGTGGCGTGCCGGGTCACGAATGGCTGACAACACATGCCCGTGGACTTGAACTACACAACTATTGTGTTTACATCTTCTCGGCAACATCATACGGACACAAGTGGTGACTTAATGTTATATACATCTGAGGCAACACAGTTTGTGACGTAGGAACATCTAGAAATTGCATTTATTCGTGTCTCGACCCATTTGAAAATTTTATTCTGAATTCTATCCATTGATCTAGTTTAAGTTTTCAGTATTTCCCCATAACACTTGTTGACTCATCGTAACGGCTGCCCTGTCGGGTAGGGATGTAATATATATATATGGTATCAGCTGGTCGACATGTAAACACATTTAAATTTGTAATAAAGGACATATTCATTTGTGAACTCAAGCAGCTGCCTGCTCAACTCGCTGCTGCCTGGCTACTGGCCCGTGTGTCGGACACACTCCAATTTCTGCACCATCCCCCAACACCCTATGGTAGACACAGTATGCGTATACTCCCGGGTATATGAGACACGCACTTCCTGTTGGTGTGTTCTGTTTCACATGTTGAAGCTCATGTGGAAGACTTTACATAGATTAGAAATATTCCGTTTCAAGCCAGTTTCATGCCTGTATAAGTTTAACCCACCAGATTCAGAAAAGCCTTGACTTGAAGTTTCAGTGTGTTTGGTAGTAAGTGAAGTATAAGAGTGGAATATCTCTGTTGATTTCTGGAAATGTTTTAGTGAGTGACATCATCAAGCAACCTGACATCAGTTAGATAAAGCTGACCATTCTGATTCAGTAGTGTGACAACTACTATATTAGTGAACATTAGCAAATTGTGCACAACAGTGTCTACATTTATAATGCAATAAACTACAAAAAGATAATGAAGTCAATGTATTTTACATGAAAATATCAGCAGTAGTAACTTCTGGGATGGCTTATTCAATCTTTAAAACTACTGAAGACAATATGAAATCAGTGGCTTGCTTCAACATAGTCAACACACCAACTAGTCCTGTCCTCAGCCAGTCGGGCAGTAATCTGTTTGTGGACATTGCTCAGTTAGTTTTCAGTTTATGGAAACATGAAGGCAAAAACCAAAAAATCTCCTCTTCATTTACTTGTGTATTTATATGTTAGAAGTTTATAGGACCAACACTTGTTTTACTAGTGAGGCACGGACTGGTTTACAAAATATTGAACTGTCAGAGTTTTATTGGTGTGCAACTTCTTTAGAATACAATGGTTAAGTCCAAATGTTGTATCCTGAGCTGAGTCTGTATCTCAGGACCCCATCACATATAATAAAGATTTTTAAATGCTTAAATCCTAATGTTGTGTCTTAGACCAAGAGTCTGTATCTCAGGATCCCATTGAGGATACTGAAGTAGTCTTCATTGATACAACAGCTTCCACATGCCAAGATTTTACTGCTTTCAGGTACACCCGATGAGAAAGAATGGGTTTTTCTCTGACGTGGATCATAGCAGTTGCATTCTTGGCCTACATCGGTCACTCCCTGTGGGTGCTGTACACCCTGTTCAACCCAGCCCCTTGTGTGGAGACAGTGAAGGGGGCCTGCATTCACCCTTACATGAAGCGCAACCCCAAACTAGAGGTAATCAAGCTTGTTTAGTTTTGCACTGGCTGCTTGAATAAAGAACAAATGTAAGTTAACTTTTCAAAACAGTTATGGCACTTAATGCTTCAAACTTCATCTTTGAAAAAATAAGTTCAATGCCTGATTTTTTAAATGATGATTAATGAGGTCCATCTTGATTTTCCATGGTATTAAATAATATTCTATTCTGTTAAATGCCTTCCACCATATCCTGAGAGAAATTGCTTTCATTTTGAGAACTGATACAGTATCCTTCACAATGTTCATGAATGAAAACAATCTATTCTGAGATAGTCTCTGACTACACTGTGAGACAGAAGGTTGTTTACTCAGACATACTGCAATATAAAACGACATTTGTAACCATTTGATTTTAGTATAAAACAAACTATTATGGATGTCTGATGAAGGGCAAGGAAAACCCAGAAACTTTGTGTATAGAATAAAGAAGAAATTGACATCCTTAATATTTTGTCTTATACTTGAATACCAACTTGTACATTTGATTTTAGATTTACCCAAGATTGAAATGTCTTTGTTTTCCCTTGAAATATTATTTTGATGTTTGATGAACAATGATGATGGCACATTAGGAACTGGTATTGACTCTTTCTACAGTGACCAACCCACGTGAAGTGAACAGCACTTGCCATAGATTCCTACAGATGTTGTTTTAATATTGTTTGTAACTAAAAGAATCATCTGACTTTCTCAAGAGCAAAGCCAATAAAATAAGTTGAAAATATACAGTATTATGAATTCCAAGCTGACATGAAACCCCAGTCATTTGTTTCAGCTGAAGGTGTTTACGTCAATCAAGGAACATCGAATCAGGGAGAGTGACCTTGACTTTGTCTGGAGGTGTGACAATTTCTCAAAGGAGGAAGCGGTGGAAACGTATGTGTATCAGTCCTGCGTCCTACTTCATCACACCTCAATATGGCTCCATGGATGATCGTTTAGGGTGTTACCAGCATCTAAAAACAGTATCTCAACAAAGCAGTCAGACAAACTTTTAGTTTTCACTTTGGGGCCACATATAATGGCATATAGGATGTATAGTATGGTATTGTGTAACATAATACTAGTCTTTTCTCCTCAAGTACTATGGCTAATTAAATGTACAGCATGATGTTGGTTGTCTGTTGTGTTACTGGTTGAATGTGGCCAGGAGCATGATGTCAGTTGTCTATTGTGTTTCTGGTTGAATGTGGCCAGAAGCATGATGTCGGTTGTCTATTGTGTTATTGGTTGAATATTGCCAGGAGCATGATGTCGGTTGTCTATTGTGTTACTGGTTGAATGTGGCCAGGAGCATGATGTCGGTTGTCTATTGTGTTACTGGTTGAATGTGGCCAGGATCATGATGTCGGTTGTCTATTGTGTTCCTGGTTGAATGTGGCCAGGAGCATGATGTCTGTTGTCTATTGTGTTACTGGTTGAATGTGGCCAGGAGCATGATGTCGGTTGTCTATTGTGTTACTAGTTGAATGTGGCCAGGAGCATGATGTCGGTTGTCTATTGTGTTACTAGTTGAATGTGGCCAGGAGCATGATGTTGGTTGTCTATTGTGATACTGGTTGAATGTGGCCCGGAGCATTATGTCGGTTGTCTATTGTGTTCAGAGTATTACACATTATTTATGTGTATTACATGTGGGAAACAGCAGCCATGATGTTTCATTTAAGACATCTCACATCAGGGCAGTTTCACCATTATGTCCAGAAACAAAAGTCAATGCAGATTACAAATATATGTTTCACAAAACGATCTCGATGTGTTTGATAATTGTGAACAAGGCCGGGGTCATGTGACATAATATGACTCCCTACTTTTGTTAATATCGTAACTGTATCTGCTTCCAGGACTGTTAATGTATCAATTCCATCAAAAACACGAAAAAACGGCACCCTGTTCCTGCATGCTTTTGTCTACCCAATGGGTGAGAGTTCTCTGTTTGGAAGCTACGCGACCCACCACGTGACCAAGATTACAACGTATGCTCTGCCCCAGGCTCAGTTCATCAGTCTGCTGGGAGACAGCAAGCGTGAGGTATGTTGAGAGTCTGGTTTTCTCGCAACATCAAGGGCGCTGGCACCCAGGAATAGTTAAATATTAAGCAACTAACGATCTTGCGGTTTTTTTCTCAAATGCCTTTAAGGTCCAATAATTTAATGTATCATGATAACTGTATGCTTGTAGATCTGATCTAGGTGGCAGTTAGTGGCACATATGGTTCCCCTTACTTCCTTGTTAAACACTGAAGACAGATACATTCAAGATGTGAAATGTTGTCAGTAACAGAGAACTTGTATTGTTGACAGAGCGGGGATGAGGTGAGCAAGACGGCACCCGACAGGACGGTCACCCACTGGAAGCAGAAAGTGACCATCAATGTGATGGCTGACCTCATCCCATTTCGACCGGCGTGCCATCCCAGGGGAGGTGTACAGATACCTCAAGTCAGTGGTAGCTTCAGTTCTCTGTGTCAAGCAGTTAGTGAGACAAAATATGTCAAACTATCAGAAACAGAAAATGTCTATTTTTAAACTTATCCTATCTCACGAGTTGCACCTCTCTCTCTTGCTTCGACTGTTAGTGGAACGACTGTAAACTTTTTTCCATAGGCCTCCTTGTCCATTTGCCCGTGCACTCCATGCTGCTCTCTTTTTATTAGCTTCCTAGTTCCTAATAAAGCTTGCCACATGCTCCACTAATTGCTCACGTGACTACTTTGAATGATCATTCTCTTTCTTGTCAAATGTCTGTGTGGCGTACTGTATATTAGGGACAAGTTTTAAACTTATCCTATCTCACTTGCACCTCTCTCTCTTCATTCGACCATGAGTGGAAACGAATAAAACTTTGCTCCAGGCCTACCTTGTCCCTGTCCCCGTGCTGTGCATGCCTTCCTGCCTTAGCCATGCTCACTAGGCCGTGACAGCACGTGGCATGCGCAGTCCTCACCCACGTGATCACCTTACGTACTCATTCTCTTTCTTGTCGCTCGACAGAGTGGACGTGAAGTTTCTTTCGTCTGAGAATTACTCAACATGGATAAGCCTGTTCAGGCCAGAAAACAAAAGTTTTGCGCTCAGTGTAAAGTTTTTTCAGCTTGGGACCCACACACATCGTGTGTTGATTGTGTGGGTTGTTGTGATTGGAACAAACGTTGTCCTAAGTGTTCAGGACTGTCTAATGAGGATTTTAAAGCTTACAAACGTACTTGTGCCAGACGTTTGGCAGATAGGGCGAGGAATGCATCTGCGGGATCCCGTTAAAAAACAATGTTTAGATCGCCCCACCCTACCTGCTCGCCGTTCTAAATCTCCCGTCTCTCCTGACGAAGATTTTGTGGGACGCTTCCCTCACCTAGCTCAAGTTCTCATGGGCATGCAAGGGTGGTTATGACTGATATTTCCTCTACACAAGACCTGTGATCTACTTTATCTCGTAGATCCGTTTCTTCGGACCGTTCAAAGTCCTCGAAACTTCAAAATCCAAGCATTCATCATTGAAGCGTGGATCGGCGCTGTTGGAACGTAACCATTCTCCTCTTTGTACGGTTTCATCCCACCGAAACAATTCACCCACACGAGTTGAGTCACCATCTGGTTTGGAGGTTCGAATTCGTTCTTCTACTGCTGGGAGGTGTCGTTCTAGATGTTCCAATGTACCAGTCCGAATCGATTCACCACCTCGATTCATTTCACCAATCAGAATTGGGTCTAATGCCAGTGTTGGTTCATTAGAACGGAACCATTCACCTAGCTGTGTCATTGCCAAGGGTCAAACGAGTTCCCTCAACCGAGACGGCTCACCAGACCGAACTGATTCACGTAATCGAATGGATTCACCAGGACAAACCGATTCACATTTCTGACTCAATTCACCTCAACATATGTTTCAGTTCGACTCACCATCTCATAGTCGAATCAATTCACCGCAGTGTTTTGATTCACGTAGTCGTTCAGTCACACCTAGTCGAAGTGGTTCGTCATTTCGATCCGGTTCACCTAGCCGTACGGTGTCTTTTCGTCAGAGTGATTCTCGTAGTCGGTCTCATTCACCTCAGGTGAATCAGGATATCCTGTCTAGTCAGTCTAGAGCTAGTGAGCACTTGCGGTCGGCGCCTTTACGTGATAGTTCCCCTAATCAACATCGTTCTGTGCGGGTGGTTTCACCTGCTAGGCTGCGTTATGCTTCAGTGGATCGGCATTCACCTGCACTCCATGCCACTTCTACTTTGCCCCGGTCACAGGTTATTGCTGAGTCTTGGAATCCTGCGCTTGATTCCTCTCCAGCGCGCCGGATTTAGACACCATGCTTCGTGCTGTTGACCCTAAGTAGCGTAATTTTGCGCACACTGTAACAATATTTACTTCCTCGGATCCCCACTCGTCATGTGTGGGTTGTATTGACCTGTGTTCCTGGAGCAAGCATTGTCGGGAATGTGCTCCCTTATCAAGAACGTTTTTAGAGCATGTACACATGCTTGCTCCCGTTGGCTGGCAGACAGAGCTCGTTACACTTCAACAGTTGATCACCCGACAAATCTCCGCTTTCAACGACCAGTATTAACTGCTCGTCGTCCAGAGTTTCCCATGTCGGACGGTGATGATTTTATTGGCGCATCATCAGATGTCTACTCGTCGTTCTGCCTCATCAAACCGCTCTGTGTTGCCAGCTGACTCACACAGCCGATCTACATCGTCAAATTGCCGAACCGATTCACCACCCCGAATCAGTTCGCCATACCGAATGGATTCACCAGACCGAACCGTTTCGCCAAGGCGATTGGGGATTACGACATCGACTCAATTCGCCATAATATTATGGACAGTACACATCATCGATTCAATTCATCGATTCCGGAACATTTCACCTCGCCTCACCGGTTCATCTGATGGTTCTAGATCTCTCCATCAGCCAAGATCATTTAAACGTTTCAGATTACCAAACCGATCCAGATCACAGTCACGATCCAAATCACAACGCCGATCCAGATCACGGACTGATTCAGATCACATCAACGTTCCGGCTCACCACCCTGAACCGATTTACCAGCCCGACTCGTACCGTTTCACCAGGCCGAACCACTCCCAATCGCCAAACCAGTTCACCTGGCCGTACAAGATCACTGAATTGTTGGCATTCATCGAACTGTCAGCATTCGTCAATAATCCGTTCCTCGGACCTTGCCAGCAATTCAGCTTATTCAGGAATTGGGCGATTCTCCACTATAATAATAATAAATGCATATTTATAATGCGCCCCTTCCACACCCTAAGGCATGCTCAAAGAGCTACAGAATATTTACACTGGAGTATTTACAGATGAAGTTATACATAATATACTGAGAAAAGGTGGGTTTTAAGTCTGGACTTAAAAATGTCAATTGTGGCAGAGCTTTTAAGGGCAAATGGGAGAGAGTTCCAGAGCACAGGCGCGGAGTAAGAGAATGATCGGTGTCCGAAGGATTTCAGTTTGTAGGATGGGATGACCAGTCGGTTTTGTGTGTTTGGCGCAAGTTGCGTCTTGGGGACATACGGATGTAGGAGTTCAGACAAGTAGGAGGGAGCCAAACCATGGAGGCACTTGTACGTCAGACAGAGGATCTTAAAGTCAATTCTGGCCCTAACTGGTAGCCAATGCATTTCTTTCAACACTGGTGTTATATGGGAACGTTTAGAAGTCTTGCTGATGATGCGGGGCGGAAGTATTTTGGATCTTCTGAAGCTTATCAAGGAGTTTAGAACTGAGGCCCGAAGGATGCTGTTACAGTAATCAAGCCTAGATGTAACAAGAGCTCGAACAAGGGCTTGAGTTGCAGCAGTTGTCAGGTATTGCCGAATGTTACCAATGGATCTTAGGTGAAAGTAGCAGGTCCTGCTCAGACGGTTAACATGAGCATCCAGAGTCAAGGAAGAGTCGATGTGGACACCCAAGTCCTTAACCACATCAGAGAATCTGACGTCAGAGTCTGCGACTGTAAGGGTGTCGGTTTTGACCTTGCTGAGTTGTTGCTTTGTACCAATGAGAACTGCTTCTGTTTTTGTCATTAAGTTTAAGCATGTTTCCTGTCATCCAGCACTTGATGTCCTGCGCACATTCAGCGATGCACTGAAGAGACGTAGATAGATCTGACAGATGAAATGCTTTCAGGAGCTGGGTGTCATCAGCGTAGGCATGATGAGAAACTGTGTGGTCTGTAGTTATCCTTCCGACATATCCGTATACAACACAAACAGGACTGGACCAAGGACTGATCCCTGTGGCACCCCACATGTGATTACAGTACCTTTTGATCTCTCAGTGCCAACAACAACAGATTGCTGTCGGTCAGACAGATAAGACGTCACCCATTGAAGGGCATGACCTTCAAGTCCGTACTGTTGTGTGAGCCTGGACAAGAGTCTATGGTGATCGACAGTGTCGAAGGCTGCAGAGAGGTCCAACAACACTAGAGCAGCAATCCTACCATCGTCGACAGCACAACGAAGCTCATTAGGTCACTTGCAGTAAGGCAGTCTCCGTGACTATAGTATTGCCGACACGCTGACTGGAATTCATCAAGCAGAAGATGTTTAGAGAGATGGTCTTTGAGTCTGACATGCACGGCCTTCTCAATTATCTTGGAAATGAAGGATAAATTTGAGACAGGTCGAAAGTTCTGAAGATTCTGAGAGTCAAGATCAGGTTTCTTTAGCAGAGGTTTGACTACAGCATGTTTGAATCTGGATGGAAATACACTACTCTCCAAACTTGAGTTGACAATTTTGGTAATACTTGGCAGCAACAAGTCAAGATATTGAAACAGAAGTTTAGTTGGTATGGGGTCGGAGTCGCAAGTGGTAGGCTTTGAAGAGCGGATAATTGATTCAATGTCCTTGGGGGTGAAGGGCGCGAACTGTGTTAGTGGATCGCCTCTGAAGAGAGGTTCACTGAAACACCTATCAACTTCCTTGGCTGAAAGTCCTTGTCGAATGGTATCAATCTTTGAAATGAAAAATGAGTTGAAGGAGTCTGCGAGTTCCATGTGACTTTGTCCGGGACGTACTCTATCACTATCACCTCCTTTACCAAGCAGTTTATTCATAAACCTGTAAGGGAAGCAGGTTTCCCCATACTATTCTGTATACTGTGAAGACAATATTTCCTTTTAGCGGAGATGATTAAAGAGGTGGTAGCATTTCGGCACTGTTGATATATCTGCCTGTGAATTTCCAGGCGTGTCTTACGCCACTGACGTTCTGCTCTGCGCCGTTGTGTCTTAGAGCGACGAATGGACTCGTCATACCATGGAGCATGAGGACGGAGTATCACATTCTTCTCAACTGCCGGAGCATGTTTGTCTAGAAGAGATGTGAGGGTGTCATGGAAGAGCTCAACATGGTCCTCAACATCAGGGGGAGAATCAGTGAGGAGGTTTGAATTAACCAAGTCAAGTCTGAAACTATCTGGCTGAATCTTCTTGATGTTTCGACACATCAAGATTGAATGCTTGTTGTTTGGCTTAATTAAGTCAATAGCAAAGAAGACATTGAAGTGGTCAGACATCTAACTCCCTGGGAGGCATTGTGCTTAGTAAGCCAAGGGGTTCCGGAGAACCCACGACAAGCATAGGAGTTGCGTGGATGCGTAACAGGCCTACCTTGTACATCACTATCTACGGTTGTCATCAGTCCACACACCTCCAAGACCAGCTGTTCGCACTGTCCAGACAGAAGGGTAATCTGTGGCCCGCCGTCCAACCGTGGGATAAGTGCAAGTCGTGAGATAGGATGAGTTTAAAATTTTTGAAATTTTAATATAAATTGTATATTTATGTGCTTATCCTATCTCATGCGATGGATGCCCGCCAGGCCTCCCCACTACTCAGATTACAACGTTGGCTCCAAGATGAGACTGATCATTTAAGGTAGTCACATGGGCAATTTGTGGAGCATGCTGCAAGCTTTATTAGGAACTAGGAAGCTAATTCAGGAGAGCAGCATGGAGTGCACAGGCGAATGGACAAGGAGGCCTATGGAAAAAGTTTACAGTCGTTTCACTAAAAGTCGAAGCAAGAGAGAGAGGTGCAACTCGTGACATAGGATAAGTATATAAATATACAATTTATATTAAAATTTCCAATTTGATTAAAAAATTTTCCCATGTAAGTACAGTGTGTACTGTGAATGTGTACAGTGAATGTGTTAATACTTACTCTCATAGATGAACATTGACACACTCAGTACTGACTCCCAATGTTGATTCATTATTTGCAGAACCTCACCTGAAGGAGATTACCTCCCCATAGTCTTCATAGATGAACTGGGCTTCAGGACCAAGGATCTGCTTGTAAGTGTCCATTTGTTATAAACATAAGTTGAGTGTCTTGGTGCTCACCTGGAATGTGCACAAGTACAACTGTTGTTTGTGCATCATGTCTTGTGGTAATTAGATGGGCAATCTTCAACTCTATGTCTTTGTATATAAGTCTGACTACTCAAGCTCAGAGAGTACAGGCATATACAGTGTACTCTGTCAATACAGGCATCACTCAGGACCGAATAGAAATGCCGATTTTGACAGAGTGCCTGTTTAGGCAGGTTGCAAGTTCACTTATGACTCCGGGCGCACACAGGAAGTTCACTGTCGCGTTGTCCCTTTTGCATTAACAACATGTTTGAATAAGAAACAAGGCGAATGGTGAGGGGTGTTGTCTCGTTCCACGCCCTCGCGATCCAGTACACTGCATCTTAAACCGAGGGGTGTTGTCTCTTTCCACGCCCTGGATCCAGTACACTGCATCTAACACCGTGATTGCTTTGCAAAGTTCATCAGTGCTGGAACATGTGTCCATTCTAGAGACAAGTGATCTCAAAAGATATCGACGGTAACGTGCCTTAAATGCGCGGATTATACCTTGATCTAGGGGTTGAAGAACTGACGTCGTGTTTGCAGGAAGGTAGCAAAGTTTCACGTTACTCAGACTAAGGCCATGGTTGTGGGAAGGGGCATTGTCCATGAATAATAAAATATTTCTTCTTTGTCTTCGCATTTGCTGATTAAGCTCCTCCAACCAATCACGATACAGGGCTGATGTCATCCAAGCTTTGTGATTGGCTCGCCAAAAATCCTTAAATACCCTCAAATCAACTAAACTCTTGCTCGTTTTTACAGACAAACTGCTCACTACATGTATTAATTACTCTATGTAAGTGACATGTACCACTCACTAATTAACAAGAAACTGATTGACACTTCCCATTTCTGAATAATCTCAGGAGTAACCACAAATTGTGTTGTTACATCATACGATTTTACCTTAAATACCCTCGAAACAACATGTAATCTCGTGCTCGTTTTTACAGTCAAACTGCCCACTATTAATTACTCTATGTAAGTGACACGTACCACTCACTAATTAACAAGAAACTGATTGACACTTCCCGTTTCTGAATAATCTCGGGAGTAACTGCAAATTGTGTTGTTACATCATTTGGACCTAATTGCATCAAAGGGTTGCGGCATCCTTCATGTGCCGTTTTTTACAGATTCGTTTTCATAACAACTTGTTCGTTGGTACTGAAAAACAATGCCGATATCCTGAGTAGACGGATGCCGATGTTTACAGATGTTTCTAAATGATAATTAAGTGCATTTCTGCCGGGACTGAAACTTTGTGCTGATGTAGACAGAGTGCCGGTGTTTACAGAGTGCCGGTGTTTACAGAGTGCCGGTGTTTACAGAGGCCGATATTGCCAGAGTCCACTGTCATAGTGTTTGTGACACATGTTTGTTATATAATCATTCTGCCCATTTGTTTTTTCCAGCCAGTCAACAGGACCTCCTCCGAGATGCCTCTCACGATCACCTATTCTTCGATCTCGGTGGGAAAACTGCGAATGTGGACAAATGTTCTTGAGTCCTTCAAGATGCTTCACAGCCTGGGTGGGTGAAACCACAGTTGTACATATACTCAGCTGTACAGCAATAACCATCTTCCATCAACCCTTAGTCAGTGTGGACACTGTAATGTACCTCACTCACTCTGTGCTAGGTTGGCTAAGTCATGCAAGAAACTTATGATCTTGAGCTGGACCTCTCATTCACCAGGCTATGTTTCTAGGTTCGTCAGCATCTTGCCTTCGCTTGTGGGTTTCATGAAAGTCACAGATCTTCCTGGACCTGTGAATGTCAAATTGGCTCAAACTAAAGTGCTTTTCAAAACCAAATCAAAGTGGCACACAGACTGGTCCAGTGGGCTGAGTGGTGGGCAGCTCCTCCTGCTGATACTACAACCTGGGTGGTATGTGTGATAGCTGCTGATACTACAACCTGGGTGGTATGTGTGATAGCTGCTGATACTACAACCTGGGTGGTATGTGTGATAGCTGCTGAGTTGACAGGTCCTCATTTCTCTTTCAGGCTTCACAGAAAAGGACACAGATGAGATCAAGGGGATATTTGCCGACACTAACCTGAACTTCCTCCTGCTCACCTTCACAGTGGCAGCCTTCCATGTATGTCGTACAGTGTACAGCCTTCCATGTATGTCGTACAGTGTACAGCCTTCCATGTATGTCGTACAGTGTACAGCCTTCCATGTATGTCGTACAGTGTACAGCCTTCCATGTATGTCGTACAGTGTACAGCCTTCCACGTATGTCGTACAGTGTACAGCCTTCCACGTATGTCGTACAGTGTACAGCCTTCCATGTATGTCATACAGTGTACAGCCTTCCATGTATGCCGTACAGTGTACAGCCTTCCATGTATGTCGTACAGTGTACAGCCTTCCCTGTATGTCGTACAGTGTACAGCCTTCCATGTATGTCGTACAGTGTACAGCCTTCCATGTATGTCGTACAGTGTACAGCCTTCCATGTATGCCGTACAGTGTACAGCCTTCCATGTATGTCGTACAGTGTACAGCCTTCCCTGTATGTTGTACAGTGTACAGCCTTCCCTGTATGTTGTACAGTGTACAGCGTGGCTTTCCATGTGCCGTACAGTGTACAGCGTGGCCTTCAATGTATGTTGTACAGTGTACAGCCTTCAATGTATGTTGTACAGTGTACAGCCTTCCATGTATGTCGTACAGCCTTCCCTGTATGTTGTACAGTGTACAGCCTTCCCAGTATGTCGTACAGTGTACAGCGTGGCCTTCCATGTATGTCGTACAGTGTACAGTCTTCCATGTATGTCGTACAGTGTACAGCGTGGCCTTCCCTGTATGTCGTACAGTGTACAGCGTGGCCTTCCATGTATGTCGTACAGTGTACAGCCTTCCATGTATGTTGTACAGTGTACAGCCTTCCCTGTAATGTATGTCGTACAGTGTACAGCCTTCCATGTATGTCATACAGTGTACAGCGTGGCCTTCCATGTATGTCGTACAGTGTACAGCCTTCCATGTATGTCGTACAGTGTACAGTGTTGCCTTCCATGTAATCCAGGCTTCAGGTCACTGGATTGTCTGTCCCTGTCACCTCAAGGTTTAATGTCGGAGCTGCCTCCGTGGTGTAGTAGTTAGAGCATCCGCCTGGAGAACAGAAGGTCGTGGGTTCGATCCCACGCCATGTCATACCAAAAGGCGTCAAAATATGGCACTTGTTGGTCCCTGCCGCACGCTTGGCATTAATGGGTACAACAAGGACTGGTTGGCTTGGAGTCAGTATAATGTGTCTGAGTGGGGTATTAACTGTGGCATGGTGTCTCAGTGAGCTCGCAGAATAAAACCAGTTTAAGTCTGGGCTAGTACAAGCAGCCACACATACACACTCATGCACATCGTCATATGAGTGAAATATTCTTAAGTATGATGCCAAACAGCATTTCACCACACCTTTAATATCAGTGTCAACTCTCTAACTGCTGTCCTTCACTCCTTCACCTTCTGTTACAGCTGCTGTTTGACTTCCTGGCCTTCAAGAATGACATCAGCTACTGGAAGAACAGGGACACCATGGTTGGTCTGTCCACCCGAGTCGGTCAGTCTCTGTCCTTCATCCTTACTGTACACGTTTCATTGGTTGGGGGTGTGGGAGGGGCACCCGAGTAGTTGTTGTGACAGAAACAGTGGTGTTGAAACACGATTCCCCCAGGGTCAGCCTCAAATCCCTGCTTGTGTTTTTTTCCAAAGAAGGACATGTGTCACTTCCTCCCACATTGAGTTGACATGCCGTGACATAAGAAATACTGTTTAAAGTGTTGCTGGCCCCAACAGCATTGGCAGATTGCGTTGGTCTTGAGTTAGTTTTTGCTGGTTGTGCCAAACACCCATGTTCCCCTCATTAGTGTGACTATATAGCTGGAATATTGCTGAGTGCGGCGTTAAACTCAACTCAACTCATTAATGTGAGGGATATTCTTGATGGTGTAAACATTGCACCACACCAAACCCTCACTCACTCTGATCACTGAGAACACTAAGAATCAGCTCCTGAATGTAAGCTACTGAGAACATATTTACAAGTATAAATGATAAATTCATCACCTCTTAAGAATAAATTAGAAATATTAGCGAAATTATATATTCAGTAAATGAAGGTTTCAAATTTTGTGAATGTCTTGCATTGTGCTGATGTTGAAGCTTGTGGAGGCCATACACTTGTGAGTTTCCCAGTCTCCCAGTCACCTCCATGTACAACATGGCAGTCAGTTACCCAGTCTCCCAGTCTCCTCCATGTACAACATGGCAGTCAGTTACCCAGTCTCCTCCATGTACAACATGGCAGTCAGTTACCCAGTCTCCCAGTCTCCTCCATGTACAACATGGCAGTCAGTTACCCAGTCTCCCAGTCTCCTCCATGTACAACATGGCAGTTAGTTACCCAGTCTCCCAGTCTCCTCCATGTACAACATGGCAGTCAGTTACCCAGTCTCCCAGTCTCCTCCATGTACAACATGGCAGTCAGTTACCCAGTCTCCCAGTCTCCTCCATGTACAACATGGCAGTCAGTTACCCAGTCTCCCAGTCTCCTCCATGTACAACATGGCAGTCAGTTACCCAGTCTCCCAGTCTCCTCCATGTACAACATGGCAGTCAGTTACCCAGTCTCCCAGGGTTCACTGCACCTACAAATACTCGAAGTAGGACATTCTGTGATGTGTAGTGTTGACTCCTGGTTTCAGTGGTGTGTAGTGTTGACTCCTGGTTTCTGTGATGTGTAGTTTTGACTACTGGTTTCAGTGGTGTGGCGGTGTGTCTCCACCATCATCATCTTCCTGTACCTGCTGGATGAGAACACCAGTCTCCTTGTCCTCATCCCTGCCGGCATTGGTTCCATTATCGAGGTACGTCTCACATCCTTAGTTGCCCTGTGATCTGAGGTACCAATAGACCAGTATGTGTCCTGTGCTAGACCAGGTCTCCCATAGACCAGTAGGTTCCCTGTGATCTGAAGTACCTATAGACCAGTAGGTGTCCTGTGATCTGAAGTACCTATAGTCCAGTAGTTGCCCTGTGATCTGAGGTACCAATAGACCAGTATGTGTCCTTTGCTAGACCAGGTCTCCCATAGACCAGTAGGTTCCCTGTGATCTGAAGTACCTATAGACCAGTAGGTGTCCTGTGATCTGAAGTACCTATAGTCCAGTAGGTGCCCTGTGATCTGAAGTACCTATAGACAAGTAGGTGTCCTGTGCTAGACCAGGTCTCCCATAGACCAGTAGGTGTCCTGTGCTAGACCAGATCTCCCATAGACCAGTAGGTGTCCTGTGCTAGACCAGATCTCCTATAGACCAGTAGGTGCCCTGTGCTAGACCAGGTCTCCTATAGACCAGTAGGTGTCCTATGCTAGACCAGATCTCCTATAGACCAGTAGGTGTCCTGTGCTAGACCAGGTCTCCCATAGACCAGTAGGTGTCCTATGCTTAACCAGGTCTCCTATAGACCAGTAGGTGTCCTGTACTAGACCAGGTCTCCTATAGACCAGTAGGTGCCCTGTGCTAGACCAGGTCTCCTATAGACCAGTAGGTGTCCTATGCTAGACCAGATCTCCTATAGACCAGTAGGCATCCTGTGCTAGACCAGGTCTCCTATAGACCAGTTAGTGTCCTGTGCTAAACCAGGTCTCCCATAGATCAGTAGGTGTCCTGTGCTAGACCAGGTCTCCCATAGACCAGTAGGTGTCATGTGCTAGACCAGGTATCCCATAGACCAGTAGGTGTCCTGTGCTAGACCAGGTCTCCCATAGACCAGTAGGTGCCCTGTGCTAGACCAGGTCTCCCATAGATCAATCAGTGTCCAGGAGTAGACTAGGGCCCCAGTACACTTCTGTGTAAAATGGGGCGTGTTTGCGTCTCAGGAATAAACCATTTAAATGTCTCGTGGCACTGGATATTGTTGGCAGATTTGCCAGGTGTTGTTGTCAATGTTAGAATTGTACTGGCTGTGATGGTGTGACTTATTTCCTCCACAGATATGGAAAGTTACCAAAGCATTTAAACTCAAGGTCACCTGGAATGGTATGAAACCATCATTTGAGGTAAGCATCTATATTTGTTTGTAATATTCTGTTCATTATTTTCATGTTATGACAAGACTGTTGATTGGCTGGGTGTTTTCCGAATGAAGAAGTAGAGAATAATGTTGACTGTAATTTGTTTTAAACCAAACATTTGGGCAACTCTGGCCCTCTCTCCTGAAATCTGCACTCACTTAACTGAAGCACTGATGGTTAAAGGTTTATTGAATTGCTTTCATGGTAACTTTTGTATGAAAGATTCATAATAAATATGATTTTTGATGACTATGAAAGTTTATTTGTATTTTAAAATGATTGGCACTTTACACAGGCTAAGCTGTCTGAATAGCTTATCCTCAATTCTTCAAGATGGGCTCAGCTGTAAGGTTGTGTGTAGCCATTGTGTTTTGCCACATGATCAGTGATAGATGGGGAGGTGCCGTACGTTGACAATTTTCATCTCTTGACAGTTTGGCACGTCCTCAGACAAAGAAAAAGAAACACAGCAATTTGATTCCCAGGTATTGTGTTCGTGGATGGTTTTGACACATTTTGTTTCATTATATCCTTGAAAAAGTAACATTGTGTTCATGTCGTCATCATTGAACAAATAGATGACAGGTTAAGACAGAAACAGTTACACTGAAACTGATAGAAGTCTAAAGTTGAAGTGAAAAAGCTTGAATATTCTAAAATTATGAATTTGTGATAGTGCTGTTTAGAAATTCTTACAGAAACTTTGTGTTATAAGTCTTATAATAACTTTGGTACAGTGACATCTGAGTTGCTAGTTTCTGTTGTCTGTGAAACAGACAAAGTGTAAGTTAAAGACCTGTTTTCTCTTCCAGGCTATGAAGTATTTATCCTACGTCCTGTACCCCCTGTGTTTAGTTGGGGCTGGGTACTCCCTCCTCTATGTACAGCATAAAAGGTGGGTAGCCACACTTGGTATTGTGTTGTATGTTCAAGGATTGTGTTGTATGATCAAGGGGTTGTGTTGTATGTTCAAGGGATTGTGCTGTATGTTCAAGGGATTGTGTTGTATTTTCAAGGGATTGTGTTGTATGTTCAAGGATTGTGTTGTATGTTCAAGGATTGTGTTGTATGATCAAGGACTGTTTTGCATGTTCAAGGCTTGTGTTGAAGGATTATGTTGTATGTTCAAGGATTGTGTTGTATGTTCAAGAGGTTGTGTTGTATGTTCAAGGATTGCGTTGTATGTTCAAGGAGTTGATTGCGTTGTATGTTGAAGGATTGTGTTGTATTCAAGGGGTTGTGTTGTGTGTTGTATGTTCAAGGGATTGTGTTGTATGTTGAAGGGATTGTGTTGTATGATCAAGGACTGTGTTGCATGTTCAAGGCTTGTGTTGAAGGATTGTGTTGTATGTTCAAGGATTGTGTTGTATGTTCAAGGGGTTCTGTTGTATGTTCAAGGGATTGTGTTGTATGTTGAACGATTGTGTTGTATGTTCAAGGGGTTCTGTTGTATGTTCAAGAGATTGTGTTGTATGTTCAAGGATTGTGTTGTATGTTCAAGGGATTGTGTTGTATGTTCAAGAGATTGTGTTGTATGTTGAAGGATTGTGTTGTATGTTCAAGGGATTGTGTTGTATGTTCAAGGGATTGTGTTGTATGTTCAAGGGATTGTGTTGTATGTTCATGGGATTGTGTTGTATGTTCAAGGATTGTGTTGTATGTTCAAGGGGTTCTGTTGTATGTTAAAGGGATTGTGTTGTATGTTGAAGGGGCTGTGTTGTATGTTCAAGGGATTGTGTTCTATGTTGAAGGGGTTGTGTTGTATGTTCAAGGGTTTGTGTTGTATGTTCAAGGGGTTCTGTTGTATGTTCATGGGATTGTGTTGTATGTTGAAGGGATTGTGTTGTATGTTGAAGGGGCTGTGTTGTATGTTCAAGGGTTTGTGTTGTATGTTCAAGGGGTTCTGTTGTATGTTCATGGGATTGTGTTGTATGTTGAAGGGATTGTGTTCTATGTTGAAGGGGCTGTGTTGTATGTTCAAGGGATTGTGTTGTATGTTGAAGGGGCTGTGTTGTATGTTGAAGGGATTGTGTTGCATGTTGAAGGATTGTGTTGTATGTTGAAGGGGCTGTGTTGTATGTTCAAGGGATTGTGTTGTATGTTCAAGGATTGTGTTGTATGTTCAAGGGGTTCTGTTGTATGTTGAAGGGGCTGTGTTGTATGTTGAAGGGATTGTGTTGTATGTTGAAGGGGTTGTGTTGTATGTTCAAGGGTTTGTGTTGTATGTTCAAGGGGTTCTGTTGTATGTTCATGGGATTGTGTTGTATGTTGAAGGGATTGTGTTGTATGTTGAAAAGGCTGTGTTGTATGTTCAAGGGATTGTGTTGTATGTTCAAGGGGCTGTGTTGTATGTTCAAGGGATTGTGTTGTATGTTCAAGGGATTGTGTTGTATTTTCAAGGGATTGTGTTGTATGTTCAAGGATTGTGTTGTATGTTCAAGGATTGTGTTGTATGTTCAAGAGGTTGTGTTGTATGTTCAAGGATTGTGTTGTATGTTCAAGGGTTTGTGTTGTATGTTCAAGGGATTGTGTTGTATGTTGAAGGGATTGTGTTGTATGATCAAGGACTGTGTTGCATGTTCAAGGCTTGTGTTGAAGGATTGTGTTGTATGTTGAAGGATTGTGTTGTATGTTGAAGGGGTTCTGTTGTATGTTCAAGGGATTGTGTTGTATGTTCAAGGGATAGTGTTGTATGTTCAAGGGGTTCTGTTGTATGTTCAAGGGGCTGTGTTGTATGTTCAAGGGTTTGTGTTGTATGTTCAAGGGATTGTGTTGTATGTTGAACGATTGTGTTGTATGTTCAAGGGGTTCTGTTGTATGTTCAAGGGATTGTGTTGTATGTTCAAGGATTGTGTTGTATGTTCAAGGGATTGTGTTGTATGTTCAAGGGATTGTGTTGTATGTTCAAGGGGCTGTGTTGTATGTTCAAGGGATTGTCTTGTATGTTCAAGGGATTGTCTTGTATGTTCAAGGGATTGTGTTGTATGTTCAAGGATTGTGTTGTATTGTGTTGTATGTTCAAGGGATTGTGTTGTATGTTCAAGGGATTGTGTTGTATGTTCAAGGGGTTGTGTTGTATGTTCAAGGGATTGTGTTGTATGTTCAAGGGTGTTGTGTGTGTTGTATGTTCAAGGGATTGTGTTGTATGTTCAAGGGATTGTGTTGTATGTTCAAGGGATTGTGTTGTATGTTGAAGGGATTGTGTTGTATGTTCATGGGGTTGTGTTGTATGTTCAAGGGGATTGTGTTGTATGTTCAAGGGATTGTGTTGTATGTTCAAGGGATTTGTGTTGTATGTTCAAGGGGTTGTGTTGTATGTTGATGGGATTGTGTTGTATGTTGAAGGGATTGTGTTGTATGTTGAAGGGGCTGTGTTGTATGTTGAAGGGATTGTGTTGTATGTTGAAGGATTGTGTTGTATGTTCAAGGGATTGTGTTGTATGTTCAAGGGGCTGGGTTCTATGTTCAAGGGTATGTTGCATGTATGTTGATGGGATTGTGATGTATGTTGAAGGGATTGTGTTGTATGTTCAAGGGATTGTGTTGTATGTTCAAGGGATTGTGTTGTATGTTCAAGGGATTGTGTTGTATGTTCAAGGGATTGTGTTGTATGTTCAAGGATTGTGTTGTATGTTGAATTGTGTTGAACGATTGTGTTGTATGTTGAAGGATTGTGTTGTATGTTGAAGGGTTCTGTTGTATGTTCAAGGGATTGTGTTGTATGTTCAAGGGATTGTGTTGTATGTTCAAGGGTTCTGTTGTATGTTCAAGGGGCTGTGTTGTATGTTCAAGGGTTTGTGTTGTATGTTGGGGATTGTGTTGTATGTTCAAGGGTTCTATTTGTATGTTCAAGGGATTGTGTTGTATGTTGAAGGGATTGTGTTGTATGTTCAAGGGAGCTGTGTTGTATGTTCAAGGGATTGTGTTGTATGTTCAAGGGGATTGTGTTGTATGTTCAAGGGTATGTTTGGGTTGTATGTTCAAGGGATTGTGTTGTATGTTGAAGGGATTGTGTTTGTATGTTGAAGGGGCTGTGTTGTATGTTCAAGGGATTGTGTTGTATGTTCAAGGATTGTGTTGATGTTGAGGGATTGTGTTGTATGTTCAAGGGGCTGTGTTGTATGTTCAAGGGTTTGTGTTGTATGTTCAAGGGATTGTGTTGTATGTTGAACGATTGTGTTGTATGTTCAAGGGGTTCTGTTGTATGTTGAAGGGATTGTGTTGTATGTTGAAGGGATTGTGTTGTATGTTCAAAGGATTGTGTTGTATGTTCAAGGGATTGTGTTGTATGTTGAAAGGATTGTGTTGAACGATTGTGTTGTATGTTGAAACGATTGTGTTGTATGTTCAAGGGGTTCTGTTGTATGTTCAAGGGATTGTGTTGTATGTTCAAGGATTGTGTTGTATGTTCAAGGGATTGTGTTGTATGTTCAAGGGATTGTGTTGTATGTTCAAGGGGCTGTGTTGTATGTTCAAGGGATTGTCTTGTATGTTCAAGGGATTGTGTTGTATGTTCAAAGGGATTGTGTTGTATGTTCAAGGATTGTGTTGTATGTTCAAGGTTCAGTTGTATGTTCAAGGGATTGTGTTGTATGTTCAAGGGATTGTGTTGTATGTTCAAGGGTTTGTGTTGTATGTTCAAGGGGTTCTGTTGTATGTTCATGGGATTGTGTTGTATGTTGAAGGGATTGTGTTGTATGTTGAAGGGGCTGTGTTGTATGTTCAAGGGATTGTGTTGTATGTTGAAGGGGTTGTGTTGTATGTTCAAGGGTTTGTGTTGTATGTTCAAGGGGTTCTGTTGTATGTTCATGGGATTGTGTTGTATGTTGAAGGGATTGTGTTGTATGTTGAAGGGGTTGTGTTGTATGTTCAAGGGGTTGTGTTGTATGTTCAAGGGATTGTGTTGTATGTTGAAGGGATTGTGTTGTATGATCAAGGACTGTGTTGCATGTTCAAGGCTTGTGTTGAAGGATTGTGTTGTATGTTCAAGGATTGTGTTGTATGTTCAAGGGGTTCTGTTGTATGTTCAAAGGGATTGTGTTGTATGTTGAACGATTGTGTTGTATGTTCAAGGGGTTCTGTTGTATGTTCAAGAGATTGTGTTGTATGTTCAAGGATTGTGTTGTATGTTCAAGGGATTGTGTTGTATGTTCAAGAGATTGTGTTGTATGTTGAAGGATTGTGTTGTATGTTCAAGGGATTGTGTTGTATGTTCAAGGGATTGTGTTGTATGTTCAAGGGATTGTGTTGTATGTTCATGGGATTGTGTTGTATGTTTAAAGGATTGTGTTGTATGTTCAAGGGTTCTGTTGTATGTTAAAAGGATTGTGTTGTATGTTGAAGGGCTGTGTTGTATGTTCAAGGGATTGTGTTGTATGTTGAAGGGGTTGTGTTGTATGTTCAAGGGTTTGTGTTGTATGTTCAAGGGTTCTGTTGTATGTTCATGGGATTGTGTTGTATGTTGAAGGGATTGTGTTGTATGTTGAAGGGCTGTGTTGTATGTTCAAGGGTTTGTGTTGTATGTTCAAGGGTTCTGTTGTATGTTCATGGATTGTGTTGTATGTTGAAGGATTGTGTTCTATGTTGAAGGGCTGTGTTGTATGTTCAAGGATTGTGTTGTATGTTGAAGGAATGATCATGTTGTATGTTGAAGGATTGTGTTGCATGTTGAAGGATTGTGTTGTATGTTGAAGGGGCTGTGTTGTATGTTCAAGGGATTGTGTTGTATGTTCAAGGATTGTGTTGTATGTTCAAGGGGTTCTGTGTTGTATGTTGAAGGGCTGTGTTTGTATGTTGAAGGATTGTGTTGTATGTTGAAGGGGTTGTGTTGTATGTTCAAGGGTTTGTGTTGTATGTTCAAGGGGTTCTGTTGTATGTTCATGGGATTGTGTTGTA